ACAAAAATATGTATCTGAATAGTCCCGAAACATATTGTAACGATTTCCGCCGACGGCTATCGAGGTCCGCTTCGCCAGTTTAGCGAAATAGTAGTCCCAGACTACTTGAAATCTGCCGCATACAAAACGTCACTCCGGGCAAGCTCAGGAATTCTTCTAGAGGGATCTTCTCAGTGTCAGTAACAGTTAGAGTACATGTTAACTCAGTTAAATTAATTAGTAGAAATGAATGACAAAGGCCAGTTAAAAAAAGTATAAAAAAAAATATTGTAAGAAAAAGAATAATTACTTACAATACAAATCATTCAAACATAGCAATCTCAAGCTTTCGAGCATTAAAGCCATTTTGGTCTCTGTGGAGTATAACATATAGACAGATAGACCTTCACCGCCATAGTTGACGATAGCAACTGTTCAAGTTTCAAATTTACAACTTTGCATACAGCAGATAATGTATTCTTAAACAAAAATTACATTTCAACTTTGCCAGATTAAATCCCTGCACCATATGGCCATTCAGTCAATTGTTAGTAATGTTTCGAGTCGGTAGGTATGGTTTGGATGTCAGTAACTCCTATATTTAAATGCAACGACAGCTGTCCCAGTGCAGGGCTGTCAGAGTCGGGCACGTATATAGCTCCTCACCATACCTGCATAAAAATAACTACAAATTAAATACATATATATGAAATAAATCAAATCAAATATACCTTACAGTTGATACACTAGCATCAAAATCATATATTATATGTATTATCTATCCATGTGATTAATCTTAATTGCATCAAATTAAACTCCGCGAAAAAAAGTTCCCAACAACATTTTATTCCCAATAATTGCTGTCAACCCTCCCTCATTTTGACCACAATTTACCAATCTCCCTCATTGAAGTCAAAACTCAAAATCTACATCCTGTTGTCAAATCATCTACTAGTTACAGCAGGACAGTTGTAATGATCATAACAGATGTGTCTAAATCAAATTAATTCTTTTTTGGGTTATTTTGATGGGTATTAAGGGGACAGATAGAAGCAGTTTCAATCGCGTTTCACGCACTTTTTCCCTATTTGAAATGTGGAATGAGGGAGATCTCACTCATTGGAGGTTTCAGAGGTTGACACCTATGTTACAGACTAAGATTCGTTAAATCAGAATCTATAAAAAAAGTTCCCAACAACATATCTTTTTGTCATAATACTAAGATCACAGACAGAGATATGTGGAATTTGGGTACAATCCTGACTGAGTGTGACACCCTTTTAAGACGTTAATGTCATCGATGACTACCAGTTTCGTATTACAAGTTTCTGCCGTAAAGCATAGCATGTGTAAGATAACAGACACAGACAAGTAGTTTTATTCATCTTAATTGTATTGACACGATGTGTATCGTTATTAATCTTACACAGGTGACCGTTAAGGCCCATAGTTTTTTGTTTCATTTGTTGGTGGATTTACGTGGGAATGAATTGGAGGGTGTTTTCCCGTCCTGCATCCCTGGTTGTCCTTGTTAAGTTCGAATTGTTAACGTCTTGAGACTAAGGTATATCTTACTGAAATTTTCAAAAAACATCTTCTAGCTACGACCGTGGCTCGAACATGCCGTTCAAAATGGCACGATTTCAGACCTTATAGGATTAGCTTACCTTTAAATGTAAACGAAGTATGCCTAGATCCTTCGTAGCTTCAATACGCGATGTGTTATTGTTTCGTACATTTTAAACTGTCGGAAACATCTTAGTCTTGTGTCAGGGCCAGGGGAAACTCGGACTGACCAGTTACCACTGTTACCATTGACAGGATATTCGAATAGACAAGACCCCAGTTGCGAAGGTGGTGATGTAATAGTTTGATGTTTAGGTCAAAACCTATGCATGTACGTTAAAAAATTACCTGGTTTTGGCTTTAGGAGGTTATTTCCTCTTAAACTAGCATTTCATGTGCCAGAACAAACTCCATCTAAAATACGAAGGCCAACCTTGTGGACAACCTCGTCCGACAGCAGAGCTAACCCCCTTGTTACGTAAAATAGTCACTAATAATACGAAGTAAACAAACTTATAAGGCAGTAATAAGATCTGCAAAGCTTATGATAAACATCAACCCTGGAGACGCGATAACAGTAGCGTCAACAACACTAGGGAAATAAACAGAGAGGTATGCCTAATAGTGGGTAAAAATTCAAATTCCAGAGTGGCAATAGTACTTAATCGCAAACTGGAACAAAGGTCGAGGTTATCTTATAGTTAAGGAGCAGTACCACAAACTGAATGACAAATCGCATAATTGAACAATAGCATAATGTTATAGATGCAGGCATACTCCGCAGATTTTTTGATGATTGATTGATACGAGCAGGATAAGGTAAATACAAAATAACCAGCATATCAGTCAACCCAAGGATTAGTTCGAATTATTCTGACGTTTTATCGACTTTTTTTTGTAATCGACGACAGACCGATATAAAAAAGTCAATAAAACGTCAGAATAATTCGGACTACCCAAAGATATGTTAAAAATTGAATCCTTCTACTAGTTGCAAATACTCGATTTGGAAGCATTTAGATACTGGGAAAAGAGACATTTAAATTAGTTGAAGCATCTTTGCCAAATGATAAATTTACCAGACCAATTTCTTCGATACCCCGTGGACTAGGCAAGGCTAACTTCCGAAATGTTGTCTGCAAAACGCATCTTCATTTAAGGGGTTTTACGCACTTCCTCTTCTGAAGTGCTTTTTGCTTAGTCGCTATTAACACTGAAGATGCCCGCATGACTTTTAGCTCACCTGCCCGAGGGGCAAGTGAGCTTATGTCATGGTGCGGCGATTTTTCATATTTGGCTGGTAGCTTCATGGGATAGAGCCGGACGCAGTTTGAGAATGAAAATTTCCTTGACCTACTTTCAAAGTCTCAGGGGTCAAATATGTCAAAACATTCAAACGATTTCTTCTGAAAAACTGAAAGGCATAGAATCTTCATATTTGGTTGGTGGTTTCCTGGGACAGAGCCCGGCAAAGTGTAAAAAAATGACCCTGGCCTTCTTACAAGGTCACAGGGGTCAAATATGTCAAACAATTAAACATCTTCTTCTGAAATATCTTAGAGCATAGTGTTAAAATATTTAGCTGGTAGCTTCCTGGGATGGCACCTGACAAAGTTTGAAAATGAAAATAACCTAGATCTCCTTATAAGGTCACAGGGGTCAAATATGTCAAACAACTTCTTAAAAAGAACCAAATAGCATGGAATCATATAATAATATTTCGCTGGTAGTTTCAACAGATGGAGCCGACAAAGTTTGCAAGTGAAAGTTGAGCGATACAGGCCCTCTCAGCCTCTTGTTCTAAAACAAGTTACCAAAACTGTAGTTATGGTATTTATAAAACAGTCAATGTATTATGAAGAGTAATATATGGCTGTAACATAACTCATATAATTAGAGGAAGTTACAGATGAGCACATGAACAACATTTCATCACATCACTAACTGTCAGTATACACCAACATTGTTGGGGGTGAAATCTCTAACAAGTAATAACAGTCAATGTAACATCGGAATTAAGGCAATAGACATGATGTTTCAGTTATTCAGAAGAAGTGGTTTAAAGTGTTTGACATATTTGACACCTGTGACCTCCAAAGTAGGTCAAGGTCATGTTCGTTCTCAAACTTTATCAGGCTCCACGCCAAGAAGCTACCAGCCAAATGTTAAGATTCTATAACTTTCAGTTCTACAGAAGATGTCGGTTGAAGTGTTTGACATATATGAGCCTTGCGACCTTGAAAATAGGACAAGGTTATTTTCGTTCGCATCATTGACCTGGCTCCATCACAGGAAGCTTCTGGCTTAATATTATAATTCTGTGCTTTTAGATTATTCAGAAAAAGTCGTTTAAAGTGTTATGACACATTTGACCCCGAGACCTTGAAAACAGGTCAAGGTCATTTTCATTCTCAAACTTTGTTGGGCTCCATTCTGAGAGCTACCAGTCAATAATGAAGATTCTATTTCTTTCAGTTCTTGAGAAAAAGTCGTTTGAAGCATTTAACATATTTGACCCATGTGACCTTGAAAGTAGGTCAAGGACTTTTCATTCTCAAACTTTGTCAGGCTCCATTCCAAGAAGCTACCAGCCAAATATTATTTTATACTTTTCAGGTCTTGAGAAATCGTTTGAAGTGTTTGACATATTTGACCCCTGTGACCTAGAAAATAAGTAAAGTTCTTTTTCATTTTTATACTTAGTAGGACTTTAGGCAAGGAAGCAACAAGCCAAATATTATGATTCTATACCTTTCAGTCCTTGAGAAAAAGTCGTTTGAAGCGTTTGACATATTTGACCCCTGTGACCTTGAAAGTAGGTCAAGGTCTATTCCATTCTCAAATTTTGTCAGACTCTATCCCAAAAAGCTACCAGCCAAATATTATGATCCTATACCTTTCAGTTCTTGAGAATTCATTTGACTTAGTTGACCCCTGTGACCTTGAAAATAAGTAAAGGTCTTTTTCATTCTCAAACTTTGTCAGACTCTACCCCAGGAAGCCACCGGCCAAATATAATGATTCTAAACCTTTCAGTTCTTGAGAAGAAGTTGTTGGAAATATTTGACCCTTGTGACCTTGAAAGTAGGTCAAGGTCTTTTTTTTTTCATTTTCAAACTTTGTCAGACTCTATCCCAGGAAGCCACCAGCCAAATATTATGATTCTATACAGTTCTTCAGAAGAAGTCGTTTGAAGTGTTTGACAAAGTTGATCCCTATGACCTTGAAAGTCATTTTTGTTTTCAAACTTTGTCAGGCTCTTACCAAGGAGGGTTTTAGCCAAATATCAAGACTCTCGGCCCATCCATTCTTCATAAGAATCGTTTAAAGGAATGTTGAACGATGAGGACGGACGGCGTGCGATGACATAAGCTCACCAGGTGAGCTAAAAAAAATCATTTGGGATTAAAAGGGGTAAAAAAAATCTCAATATGAACAACTCAACAACTTTCTCTGTATTCTTGTTTTATTTGCTTCATAAATCTTGACCAGGTTTATAAGCCTGGCATTATAATCACACTGCGAAGTGAAAGACTGCAACATGATTAATATAAATGTTCAAAACCATGATTAAGGCAAATGTTGTCAAGAAAAAATGATACTGATACAAAATTGGCAGAGCTTTTCTGTTGACTGAGCACTTTTTGAACATCATGAAGTGCGGCTTCTGAAGTAAAAGAGATAAACATAATTATTTTTAGTATACACCAACATCGTTTGAGGTGAAATCTCTAACATGTAATAACAGTCAATGTAACATCGGAATTAAGGCATTAGACATAATGTTGCAGTGTTGTGATTTGGCCTAGACAACAGTACCAATGAAATGAAAATGATGACGTCGAGGACTTGACAATGGCTATAGAACACAAGTTTTTCACAAATATTCACATACATTTTTGTGAATGTGATAATACAGATTCTGAAAATTGGTTTGCATTTCATATAGATTAATGAACCTCATCACAAGCATGTTTTAGTTAAGCAGAGCCAGGCTAAATTGAATATTTCTAGACTTGGTCTCATATAAAATGTCACTCATTTCAGAACTTAAATGAATGCATTATATTAAGGTGAAGGGCACCACTACACGAGCTATACCGTCTGTTATGATGATAGAGAGTTCCAATTCAAAACTGTTTTCTACTTGGGAGTTTTCTCCCTGTAGAAGATAAGCAAAGATAAAGGTTCACTTCCATTCGCAACGTATTCACCTTTTGATACTTAGCTTGACATTTGCTAAATATCAAAATTGGTAAATTGGGATTGTAAGTGAAAAGATCCAAAGTTCAACCCCTAGAATTCAGTTTTGCTGTCTACTTTCAAGCTACTCAAATGTCAAACTGCAAAAACTACTGTAATATATATTTTATCCAAAATGCATCTGTAGAAATTTACTTCTGACAAGGTTTTGAAAATCATCATTCAATCAATTATGCAGAAACAATTCAATTCAGGGTTGTTTTTCCTTTTTGTGAGAAAGGGAGGGGCAGTCTAAGAACATTTTCACAAAACAATCCATAGATGAAAACTTACTTTCAAACTGTTTAACATAATCATCCAAATAATATGTTGTAGTTGAGAGTTGGAACCAATTGACATTCGAAAACGTTTACACATGTCTTACTTAAATTCTATCTATCAAAGTTACTAGCAGGTGGTGCCACTTAGTTATTCCAGAACTTAAAGGAAGTGTCGCCATTTAATTCTTGAAGGACTTCAAGTAGACATGACACTGTTGGAGTTTCTTCAAACCAATTTATTCAAAAATCACCTACTTCGGAAAACTTTCTGAAATCTTCCTAAGCCTTCCTTGCCAAAACTAGAAGGAGGCATCTACCAATCTTGCTAAATGTAGAAGAATTCCAATATGTCCACTAGTTCTGATGTGTTGCTATACAACGTTGATTTCATGGCATATGACTGTGCTGGTAGCTATTTTGAACCACATTTGACATGTTTATTTACATACTAGGTGAACATTCCTGTAAACATGCTATTTGTTAACAATGCTCATCTTCTGTGCGCTTGATTTCAACATGAAAATTTGGTTCTCTGTAAATCTTTTTCCGGGGAAGAAGACTGCTAATCATGGTATTCTTATGTGTTGCCACTTGAAACTCCAAGAACATCTAACAGATGTGGCCACTTATTTATTTCAAACCTTTCACCTGCTGTCACTAATGTGTGCATATTAGCACAGAATGTTGCCTCAAATATCAAAATGATTTCAAGATTCACACTAGATGTCAGCCAATCGTCAAATCAGTTTCAAGAAGGTCTCCCTTCGATCAGCTGAATCTCCCTCTAGGCGTCGCCTCAAGTTTTGCGTTTCTTCGCTTTTCCACCTTCCGTATGTATGTGTGAGTCTGTGGAAAGTCGACGACGTTTTGCCTCCTCCTCCTGGAATAGGAGTCCATCAAGATCAATTAGATACTCATAACAGCAATCAGATACTTTAAACATACATATTCCGAAATTATTCTGATTTCAGTGCTTTTCAGGGTTTGAATTTCGTGCTAGTTGAAGTTTCTGAATATAGTGTGCTATTGCATATATTGATTGTGAGTGCGCCAATTCATCGATGCGCTTATCTGTTTACAGATTGAAAATATGTAAATATTTAAGTCTGCTAAAACAGGCTGTATATTTACGGTAAAAAGACAATACCACACATGTTCATCTAAAATTCTAGATTGCACAAAAGCATTGCACATGGGTACATGTCCATTTGAGCAATGAACAAGTGCAATCTGAAATGTCTGATGCACATGTGTGTTATTGCATTTATGAAATATGAGGCAGTGTTTAGTTGTGCTCAGGATTACGGTCTCCTTTTAGCTTCATGCTAAAGGGAATTTCCCTTTAACTCAGTGGTAGAGCATTCAATATTTGATCTATTACAAATGAGACACTTCATCCAAGTTAATTTTATACAAATTAAAGTAAACTATTATGAGAAGAACATACAAAGTTAAGGACTAATTTAAAGAGAAAACCCACCAACTATAAGAGATCTTTATACAAAGTTTGAACAATAAAAATGGAGAAACTTGCATCAGGGCGATCTATATACAACGTTAAGATCTATATACAACGTTAAGATCTATATACAACGTTAAGATCTATATACAACGTTAAGATCTATATACAACGTTAAGATCTATATACAACGTTAAGATCTATATACAACGTTAAGATCTATATACAACGTTAAGATCTATATACAACGTTAAGATCTATATACAACGTTAAGATCTATATACAACGTTAAGATCTATATACAACGTTAAGATCTATATACAACGTTAAGATCTATATACAACGTTAAGATCAACATTAAGATCTATATACAACATTAAGATATATATACAACGTTAAGATTTATATAAAACGTTAAGATCTATATACAACGTTAAGATCTATATACAACGTTAAGATCTATATACAATGTTAAGATCTATATACAATGTTAAGATCTATATACAACGTTACGATCTATATACAACGTTAAGATCTATATACAACGTTAAGATCTATATACAATGTTAAGATCTATATACAACGTTAAGATCTATATACAACGCTAAGATCAACGTCTTAGATCTATATACAACATTAAGATATATATACAACATTAAGATCTATATAAAACGTTAAGATCTATATACAACGTTAAGATCTATATACACCGTTAAGATATATATACAATGTTAAGATCTATATACAACGTTAAGATCTATATACAACGTTAAGAACTATTTTGAAGAGAAAATCCACCTATTACAAAAGAAACTAAAATATGGCGATCTTTCTTCAAAGTCGGAACTATTACAAATATGAACTTCAACCAGGATAATCCCTTGCTATGTTACCAACAGGAGCAATCCTTAGTTAGTGCCTACCTTATCACTAGTGTTGTCAACTCGCCGTGTCGTGCGCAGATGTTTGGTGTCAGTTGACTGGACCATCAACTGTGTACTCACATATTGCTGTGGAAACAAAGGGTCATTCTAAAACATCACACAATTACTCCTTCATATTGTGATTGATCTCCCTTCAATTAAACAAATTCAAGGCTTCGGAGTGTTATTCGACATCACTAGGATATTCAAATTAATTCCAAAGTACTTCACACACATTGCTGCAAAGCTCTTCTTACTGGGAAAACATGCACATTAAAAACTTGTGTATCCGATGTTTTGCTAACACAAAATATTTCATGCATCAAAAATGTGAAAATCAACATTGAACTGATGTTGGAGAAAGTCTGAGGGACAACCTCAGCTGGAACCTGTGTCAACTCCAAAATCTATGATTTTACCAATGTTGTCTGCAAAGAAAGTCTCTGCTACACCCTGTACCTCAAACTGTAATAGACCAGGCCCCACTTGTATAAAACATCTCAACTCTTGAGATGTCTCAAGTCTAAGATTTCCCATAGACACTACATTGCTTGAGATTTTCCCAAACTTTGAGATGTATCAGTTTAAGTACAGCTGTATAAAACCATGGTTTAACTGTATACATTTGAATGTACTTTGACAAGTTTCATGGTCTGCTTGATCATTTGATCTCTACTTAATGACCATTGACCCTTTACTCTTGACCAATTCCCACCAAAATCTATTCATGTATAGAACATTTTGTCATCATATTATGACATGTCAAGGGAAGCTAAATCTTTTGACTTGTAAATGGGATATCTTCAGTATAATAAGCGGATTTCTGCTTTCATGATATGGTAAAATAAATCTGTTGTAAGGTTCTGGAGATATCTTCCACACAAGCTTTGTATTATGGACGGACGGTAACACTGACACCAAATATTATATCTACTCCCCTTACCTAAGTTGGGGTAATAACAACCCTGTTATTATACCGACCAACAGACTTAGCAGAGTGCTGTATAGTTGTTGAATTTTGCGGAGCTAATATATTGTGGCTGTCCCAACAAGAACTAGTTTGCTGGGATTAAACTTCGCTCAATAAGGCCAGGTAAAAATATCATGCTCAGTAGAGACTTTTTAATTTGGGTGATTGGTGTTTTGTCAAAATAAAGTAAAATACAATATCCAATTATTGTTTTATGAGGCTTTTTCTTGGTTACGACAAATATAGCGAACATAATATAATGCCCTGCGAATATATGGTACCTCAATGTGCTGCATGACATCGTGGTACATCTCAACCGCCATCTTGTACACATTGTGGTTGGAACTGTTGTACATGATGGCATTGGTAAACATCAGCATTACATCACGCTGGAACTCGGCAGTCGTTCGAATGATTCCATTTTCTACATTCTTCTTGATAGTACCCAGATTCATTGGTCTGAAAGATTTAGAAACAAAGATTTATTCTGCAAAACAATTTACGTCTGAATGAGAAGATGAAATATTTCTTGCCTTTTTGATTTGAATTATACAAATTTATTTTGAAAAATCACATCTTTAGCATGGTTTTTTGGACAAATTCTCATGATAACGTCTGAAAACACATGAAAATGCTGGGTTGACAGTTTTTTCACCGAGTCAGTAATCGGGTTTAGTTACACATTCTGGATGCAACATGTAAAATGTAATGCAAAAGACAATCTCAATGCAGCGGTCAAACAATTTCCAGTTCTAAATCTTAGAAACCGGCGAATGACATTCATCTGATTTTCTGCAAGCAACAGACTCACGAGAGGTGTTTATGGAGACACCACTAAAACAACTAGAGCAAGCTCACAAGATATACCCCCTCCCCCCTCACTTCAGCTTATCTAGGTATTCCTTGTAAAGACCATAGACCTACCTGAAAACAATGCTGGAATAACCCGGAGCTATGTCCTCGGTAACTGGATGCATGAACACATTGGCATACCTGTAGAATATCAAGAATTCAATTGTCTTAACTCATTTACTGAATTTACATGTATCATACATTGATTTTTACAGGGATCTGCTTATATTCATACCATATTTTACCACAAATAAGCCCCCTCTCGCAAATAAGCCCCCTCCCCATTTTGGTCAATGTCCTGGGAACAGGGTGGGTGCCTGCAATCAAGCCCCCTCCCTAATTTTGTCTCCATCTCAAAAAAAATTTTTTGTCAATTTTTGTCTCTGACATAAGCAAATTAGCTAAATGGATGCAAAACAACATAAACCCAAGTTTAAATACTACAAATAACTTTGTTTCTGAATTAGGCACAATAGTAAATAGCATGTAGTGACATGTACTCTTTACCGAGTACTGTGATTCTGTATATTTTTTTTTTATATAGAAAGGTAGTGTCATATAAACCAGAAGTTCAAAAATTGCAGTCCCCAATTGCTTTCACCATTTCAGGCTCTTCTGGAGGAAAGCTTATTTTTATTATGACATCATAAGAAATATAAACGGTTTAAAATTAACATCAGGAATTGATGACATCATAACAATAATATATACACAAACTGGTGATGTCCCATGACTAAAATGATTTCTTATTTTATAAAGAGCTCTGATGGACTCCTTCGGAATGGATGTTATTTAAGGAGGATTTACTCTTTATACAAAACACAGAGAGTTACATTATAAAGGGTAGCATATATTTCCTTGAAGAGTAGAGGAAAAAAACAGTTTAATTCTATTTCAATTATTTATAATATTGAATTTTTACTTCCAGGGAGTGAATTTCACCAAAATTTGAATCGCTATCTTTCATAAGGAAGTATTTGAAACATATATATACCATTTTAGCAAATTTAGATTTTTTCCCCCCGATCAGCCCCTTTAAGCCATTCTTTTTACTTAAAGAAATAGGGTGAAAATTGATAAAGATTTGGGAGATTAATTTCAGCCCTAAAATGGTAAACTATCTCATTCCTCAAAGAAATTCTAGGGAAAATTTTGTAGCTAAAAATATCTTGCTGTACATAGTTATAGTGCTGTTACTATCAGCTGGTTAATGGGAACATACTTGTGGCTGGCAGCTGATTTCCACACCAGCATAATAGATTTCTTCCAGTTTTTCCAGTTCTTTTCATCTTCGGTATCACTGCTGTAAACAAGACCAGACACTTTAATTATAAGGCCACATATTTTTACAGGTACTTAATGATACTGTCGTTAATCCTCTAATTATCTGACGTCCGGCCAACACCCGTATAAACACAATGAGCATGTCGATGGCTCAATTGTGGTATGTGTGATATACAGGTGCCACTACCTGTTCAACAAATGAACAGGTTAAAAACTAAGTGTTTGAGTGGCCGGGGATAAACCAGAGTTTTGAGAACACTGGTACTTGAGCAAAGGCAGTCGGAGTAATCCGAGGTTAATTTACAAAGAGTATATAAGTACATGGTCTGGAACAAGCGACGAACAATTCAAGGAACAGGGGGTATTCGAGTAATGCAAGTTTGAGTAAGTGGTGTTTCAGTGTATACAGCAGTCAGTAACAATCTGTAAATTGGTTGAGGGTGACCTTACCAATGGGACAGAGGACTGTTCGGGATGGACTCTGAGAAAGTCCCCGATGTTCCTGTCTGGTTGAGAGAACTTGAGGCTAGGTCATCATCTTCCTCTGTAGTTTCTCCATCACTAGGTCGGGACAAAGAGTCATCCTTTCGTTCGTCTTCCTGATCAACAAATAATAAATAAATTAAACACAATAACAGCCAAAAGTCCATGGTACAAATAATTTAAAGCGCAGACTTCATATTTGTTACAAGTAATTTGAATACATGACGAGGCAAAACCATAATTATTTGAAACAAAAAGGCTTCATCTGGACATTACAAACAAATCAAACAGATTAGTTTTGCATGGCCTTACAAAAAACAAGGAAATTAATTTGATGGAGCCTTACAAAAAACAAGGAAATTAATTTGATGAAGCCTTACAAAGAACAAGAAAATAATTGGATGAAGCCTTACAAAAATCAAGAAACTAAGTTAGTGTAGCCTTACAAAGAATAAGAAAAGAGTTTTGTCTTTGCTTACATGCAATGCAAAACTGATTTCTTGTGGGTTACAAACAACAAAACATAAGTTTGGCGTGGCCTTACATGTAATGCCCTCCTTGGTCTTCTGGATGGTCGTCTGCCTCCGCGGGACCTTCCTGTGACAGCACAAATAGAAACCCTTATTCATTAATTTGTGTTACGGTACAAGTTGAACATGTACAATATGTCTGCCTTTAAAAGATCTTTTCTAAATCAGAACATATAGAGCCTATCATGCACTGAACTTCAGGGGGAAAAACCAGATCGAATCCCATCCCCTGACTTTTTACTGATGGACAGATAGTAATAAAATAATTGGAGGTTCTTATATACCGCTTTATCTCATCCTAGTTCGTAGGTGGTCTCAAAGCGGTTCACAAATTATTATCCGTGGTTATAGGGCCTTTGCAACCAGCCAATACATTTCTCAACTCCCTGGGGATGGAAATATTTTTGTTGGAAGAAACATCTAATACAGTCAATGTTTCTCTCCAAGATACCTATTTACACAAGGATGTGAAAACAACCCACCCCTTCCTCGACGTCGAACAACATTTCTGATGTTGTCAGACTCGCTGAGTTTAGAGGACACACTACTGGCTGGGGAGAGAGGCTCCTCTTCTTTGATGGAAATTTCGTCATCCACGTTGATGAAGCTGGCACTGTTTACATCAGCAGACTCTGTGCTGTCCTCCTAAAGTCATGGCAACAGTTAAAACAATGAAGCTACCTCTCCAATGTTACATCTTACTGTATGTGAACTCTGAAGAAGATATAGTACAGTAAAACCTGTCTAATCTGACACTCTGTGGGGTCTAAATATTGTGTGAATAAGACAGGGTGTAACATTTCACAATAAAATATGTTCATATACTTAACAGAAGAAAAGGTATTGTCTGAAATTATTTCTGTAAAAATATTTCCCTGTAATAGGAAACTCAAACGGAGAAAGCAGTGGTTTTCTTGCCTCAAACGGAAAAATTGATTGACGTCAACAACAGATATGGGAAATAAAACGTAGGATTAATTTTTTGAAACACTCAAGTTTCTTTTTACAAGATCTTAAAACTATTACCACACCTCAGTGAGCTGAGAACTTTACAAAATATTTTTCGATAGAAAAGGGACCATTGATAGCTCCTGTAGAATTACAAGAAAAAGCCGAGGAAAGGCACCATACCACGGTCTGAAATCAGTCAAACCTACTGGAATATCATCCACTTTGTGTATCGACATTTCATCGTCTTTGCTCATAACATCTATTGTGGAGTCCCTTGTGTCATCGTCATCCTCTGTTGTCACTTCGTTCTTTTCGTCTTCCTCCTCCTCTGTCACAACCTCCTCTGATACCATGATGTCTGAAAACCACAGAATCGTATCTCTAATGTATCGATTAACAGAACCTTATATATGCCTAACTCTAATTTATTGAATCTCTAATGTACCGAATAACAGAACCTTATATACGCCTAACTCTAATGTATTGAATCTCTAATGTATAGAATAACAGAACCTTATATATGCCTAACTCTAATGTATTGAATCTCTAATGTATCGAAAAACAGAACTTTATATATGCCTAACTCTAATTTATTGAATCTCTAATGTATTGAATAACAGAACCTTATATATGCCTAACTCTAATGTATTGAATCTCTAATGTATCGAATAACAGAACCTTATATACGCCTAACTCTAATGTATTGAATCTCTAATGTATCGAATAACAGAACCTTATATACGCCTAACTCTAATGTATTGAATCTCTAATGTATCGAATAACAGAACCTTATATACGCCTAACTCTAATGTATTGAATCTCTAATGTATCGAATAACAGAACCTTATATACGCCTAACTCTAATGTATTGAATCTCTAATGTATCGAATAACAGAACCTTATATACGCCTAACTCTAATGTATTGAATCTCTAATGTATCGAATAACAGAACCTTATATACGCCTAACTCTAATGTATTGAATCTCTAATGTATCGAATAACAGAACCTTATATACGCCTAACTCTAATGTATTGAATCTCTAATGTATCGAATAACAGAACCTTATATACGCCTAACTCTAATGTATTGAATCTCTAATGAATCGAATAACAGAACCTTATATACGCCTAACTCTAATGTATTGAATCTCTAATGTATCGAATAACAGAACCTTATATACGCCTAACTCTAATGTATTGAATCTCTAATGAATCGAATAACAGAACCTTATATACGCCTAACTCTAATGTATTGAATCTCTAATGTATCGAATAACAGAACCTTATATATGCCTAGCTCTCTAATTTACCGGTACTGAATTGATATCAAACAGAATCTGAATGAATATCAAACAGACTCTTTTCTGCCAAACTCAAATGTATTGTATTATAGTAGGAGCGGAAAAATGCACGACCAGACTGGGGTTCGAACCCAGAACCCTCCTAACTCTAGAAAACCGCTCTGCCAATTGAGCTACCTGTTCACCGACGATCGACCCAGTCAAGTTCCACTACAGAATCATATATAACAGAATGGTATGTGCCTGAATCTCCAATGTACTGAATGAATGTCAAACAGAATCTCATAATGTACAGAATTAATATAAAACAGAATCTCATAATGTATAGAATTATTATAAAACAGAATCTTATATGCTTACCTGTAGCTTTGTTTTTGTCTAACATAATCTTACATGCTTCATAAAGTCAAATTGAATCTGATTGCCCATACAGTAATGTACTTAAAATAAGTTAATTATGTAAATCAGAATCTTGTACTTTTTTTTAATGTAATGCACTAAATCACATCACTCCTTAATGTACTACTAAACTTTATCAAATACAATGTTATATCCTTAACTTCACTAAATTTACATGAAATTGAATGTTTGACCTCTAACTGAATGAAATGATATATAATTACATTCCCCAATTCTGTAACAAACTGAATAATACCCCTTAAGTAACATCTCAATGAATATTTATTACAGCCCTTAAGTAACATCTCCATGAATATTTATTACAGCCCCTTAAGTAACATCTCCATGAATATTCACTACATACCCTAAAGTAACATCTCCATGAATATTTACTACATTGAATATTTATTACAGACCCTTAAGTAACATCTCCATGAATATTTATTACAGACCCTTAAGTAACATCTCCATGAATATTCACTACAGACCCTTAAGTAAAATCTCCATGAATATCTATTACAGCCCCTTAAGTAACATCTCCATGAATATTTACTACATACCCTTAAGTAACATCTCCATGAATATTTACTACATTGAATATTTATTACATATTTATTACAGCCCCTTAAGTAACATCTCCATGAATATTTATTACAGCCCCTTAAGTAACATCTCCATGAATATTTATTACAGCCCCTTAAGTAACATCTCCATGAATATTTATTACAGCCCCTTAAGTAACATCTCCATGAATATTTATTACAGCCCCTTAAGTAACATCTCCATGAATATTTATTACAGCCCCTTAAGTAACATCTCCATGAATATTTATTACAGCCCCTTAAGTAACATCTCCATGAATATTTATTACAGCCCCTTAAGTAACATCTCCATGAATATTTATTACAGCCCCTTAAGTAACATCTCCATGAATATTTATTACAGCCCCTTAAGTAACATCTCCATGAATATTTATTACAGCCCCTTAAGTAACATCTCCATGAATATTTATTACAGCCCCTTAAGTAACATCTCCATGAATATTTATTACAGCCCCTTAAGTAACATCTCCATGAATATTTATTACAGCCCCTTAAGTAACATCTCCATGAATATTTATTACAGCCCCTTAAGTAACATCTCCATGAATATTTATTACAGCCCCTTAAGTAACATCTCCATGAATATTTATTACAGCCCCTTAAGTAACATCTCCATGAATATTTATTACAGCCCCTTAAGTAACATCTCCATGAATATTTATTACAGCCCCTTAAGTAACATCTCCATGAATATTTATTACAGCCCCTTAAGTAACATCTCCATGAATATTTATTACAGCCCCTTAAGTAACATCTCCATGAATATTTATTACAGCCCCTTAAGTAACATCTCCATGAATATTTATTACAGCCCCTTAAGTAACATCTCCATGAATATTTATTACAGCCCCTTAAGTAACATCTCCATGAATATTTATTACAGCCCCTTAAGTAACATCTCCATGAATATTTATTACAGCCCCTTAAGTAACATCTCCATGAATATTTATTACAGCCCCTTAAGTAACATCTCCATGAATATTTATTACAGCCCCTTAAGTAACATCTCCATGAATATTTATTACAGCCCCTTAAGTAACATCTCCATGAATATTTATTACAGCCCCTTAAGTAACATCTCCATGAATATTTATTACAGCCCCTTAAGTAACATCTCCATGAATATTTATTACAGCCCCTTAAGTAACATCTCCATGAATATTTATTACAGCCCCTTAAGTAACATCTCCATGAATATTTATTACAGCCCCTTAAGTAACATCTCCATGAATATTTATTACAGCCCCTTAAGTAACATCTCCATGAATATTTATTACAGCCCCTTAAGTAACATCTCCATGAATATTTATTACAGCCCCTTAAGTAACATCTCCATGAATATTTATTACAGCCCCTTAAGTAACATCTCCATGAATATTTATTACAGCCCCTTAAGTAACATCTCCATGAATATTTATTACAGCCCCTTAAGTAACATCTCCATGAATATTTATTACAGCCCCTTAAGTAACATCTCCATGAATATTTATTACAGCCCCTTAAGTAACATCTCCATGAATATTTATTACAGCCCCTTAAGTAACATCTCCATGAATATTTATTACAGCCCCTTAAGTAACATCTCCATGAATATTTATTACAGCCCCTTAAGTAACATCTCCATGAATATTTATTACAGCCCCTTAAGTAACATCTCCATGAATATTTATTACAGCCCCTTAAGTAACATCTCCATGAATATTTATTACAGCCCCTTAAGTAACATCTCCATGAATATTTATTACAGCCCCTTAAGTAACATCTCCATGAATATTTATTACAGCCCCTTAAGTAACATCTCCATGAATATTTATTACAGCCCCTTAAGTAACATCTCCATGAATATTTATTACAGCCCCTTAAGTAACATCTCCATGAATATTTATTACAGCCCCTTAAGTAACATCTCCATGAATATTTATTACAGCCCCTTAAGTAACATCTCCATGAATATTTATTACAGCCCCTTAAGTAACATCTCCATGAATATTTATTACAGCCCTTTAAGTATATTTATTACAGCCCCTTAAGCAACATCTCCATGAATATTTATTACATATTTATTACAGACCCTTAAGTAACATCTCCATGAATATCTATAACAGCCACTTAGTAAAATCTCAATGAATATTTATTACAGCCCCTTAAGAAACATCTCCATGAATATCTATTACAGCCCCTTAAGTATATTTATTACAGCCCCTTAAGAAACATCTCCATGAATATTTATTACAGTCCCTTAAGTAACATCTCCATGAATATTTATTACAGCCCCTAAGTATATTTATTACAGCCCCTTAAGTAATATCTCTATGAATATTTATTACAGCCCCTTAAGTATATTTGTTACAGCCCCTTAAGTAACATCTTCATGAGTATTTATTACAGCTCCTTAAGTAACATCTTCATGAGTATTTATTACAGGAATAATTTTGCCGACTGTTCAATTTACCTATGCTCACCTTGAGTTATCACCTCATAACCTGACCAAAGTATTATAAGACTCTTTCATGCCCAAGGGTGTAGGATAGGGAAAGTCCATCCTCAGGATTTTCAAATTTGGCAAAACCCTCCGCTTCTATCCTACACCCTTGGCCATGAAAGAGTATTATTCTCTCATTCCAGCTAGATATGTACCAGGATAAGTTCAGACACCATGAAAATGTATTTGGACTGGCTACCATTTCGAAAATATTAACTTTTCCCCTGAGGTTTTTGACGAAAAAGCAAATCTTATCAACGAGACTTAGCATACCTCATATATGCAAACATAGTTTACGCAGAAATATTTATCTCCTCTTTCTAACGTGTACGGTAAATATATCATAAAAGGTTTCAATTTCAACACATCGCCTTTTCTGCATTGCGGCATCAGAGATTTCCAAATTCGTGACATCAATTTTTGTTGAGCCATTGTGACATTACGTCAAGTGAAATTAGGTTTAAGATAGAAATTTATTACACCCCTTTCTCACCCTGGACAGCTCTATCTTACACGACCGGAATTGAGAGAAAAAGCTATTCCTTATATTTACAGCACTTTTCTGTGAATGTTTCATAACTATTTCATTTATGATTCTGATGAAGAGACAAAAAGTTCATTTCAAAACTTAATAATAAAGAGTTCTCGCTTCAATAAAAGTAAGTCTGAAACTTGCATAAGCCTCGGTTAACTCCGCCCACATTTACTGTTGATGATGTCACATAATTAAATGTGTCTCGCTTGCAGAAAATGTGCATGTCTCTGCAGACTTGTACTGTTGTCAACGTCATGAAAACTTGTCACATTCTATGTTCAGGTTATGAGACAATAACTCCAGTTGTTATTGAATGAATGTCAGTGCAGACTATAAATATAAATAAGGGGGGAAAAAGGGATGAGTTCATACCTAATGTGTGGTCGTCAGTGGTGATGGATGCAGAGTCTGTTGCCCCGCCTGTCAAGTCTGCCTGTGGTGTGTCCTCATCAAGCTGACCCTGACCAGGCTTCTCCAGCAATTTGGTCATGGTGGGGGTCACTGAAAATTACAGCAATACAGCCAGTAACATTACAGCAATTCAGTATATAACTTTCATTATATAACTGGGCAAGTCAAGTTTTAATGAGTAGAGGTGAATGAGTTAATAAGAAAAATGTGTTCTCTGTCCTCACGATAGGAGAGAGGCATCACCAGTTCTCACCATATGAGGATGACGAGTCCTCAGTACTGGAGGCGGGGTCATCGTCTTCCTTGATGGGCGGAGCCTGTGGGGCAGCAGTTTTACTTGCAGCCTTGGCTGCCAACTGCTGTGCATGTAGTTCTTGTTTCAACTCAGCTTCCTACAGAAAAAGTTAACATACCACATTGAACTAGCATTATTATGTATAATTATATGGATTAAGAATATAGACTAAACAAGCAAATTCATGGAATTTATATCCCCCGCTTGCAGGACATATTGTAGGTAAACATTATTGAGGTTAGGTTTCATGTGAGTAACGTGCTGTTGAGACATATTGTATAGCTTAAAACTCGAAGAAAAAAAAGCCTTATACAGAAATTAGACTTTTTATTGAACATGTAGGTATATAATGACGTTTTTTGTTAATCAAGGGGCCATAACTCTGCCAAATAAAGTCTGCTTAAAGTGGCCATCAAACTTACTTAAGGCATTTAACCCAAGTATTAAGTTTGAAGAAAATCGGTTAACATTTGTTGCAGTTATTGCACGGAAATGAAGCGTGACAGACAGAAGGACAAACCCCAAATTAATATCTCCCATTTCGGTGAAAGGGGGGGGGGGTGATAATAACAAACAATATGATATAGACCTTTTGGTCTCAAACCCAACCCCCTTACACCATCACAACCAATATTACTAAATATATCACAAAGAGGGGAAAGTTTGAAATCTGTTGCCTACTAAATAATAAACAGAAATGCATTAATTGATATAAAGGCCTAATACAACAGGAGTACCGCGTGGCGGAACAATATACACCCGTCGAATGCCATATAGTGTTATATACTTTCTTACATTCAAATAAGATCTCTCTGCAACATTCTTAGAGTGGTTAGCTGACATGCTATAAAAAAAATGTAGGAGAAAATCTCCAGACAAAAAAATCAAATACTGAAATGAACAAAGGGAAATAACTTTGGCAAAATTCGTGGAATCAAAATTCTTTTATTAAAGGGAGACACAACTTCATAGCATGATTATAATGTATACCAAATTTCAAAGAGATCTGTTGGAAAATGGAGGAGGAGATTGCCAGACAAAAACCAAATACTGAAATAAACAAAGGGCAATAACTTTTGCAAACATTGTCGAATCAAAATTCTTTTCAATGAAACACAACAACATATCATGATTATATAGCCTTCTAAGTTTCAAAGAAATCCGTCAAAAAATGGAGGAGAAGATCGCCATACAAAAAATCAAATACTGAAATGAACAAAGTGGAAAAACTTTTGGAAAAATTGTCAAATCAAATTCTTTTAAGGGAGACACAACTTCATATCATGATTATAATGTATATCAAGTTTCAAAGAGATCGGTCAAAAAATGTAGGAGGAGATTGCCGGACAAACAAAAGTTTATGCTGGACGGACGGACGGACGGACGGACTACCCCATACCATAACACTTCCATCAAATTTGACGGGCGTATAAAAATGTTGTACCTACCAAATACATGCAGTTTGGTTCCTACCCAGAATATGTTGCCCTTTTATAATGGGCAGAGTAAACAGTCAAATATTTGTTTGCTCTAATCTATGTAGTATGGGCCTGCATTGATCACCTGGTATTATCTTACACTCGTAACCTTAAAAGTATTCAGAAGAAGTTGTTTAATCAGTTTAAACACATTTGACTACTGTGACCTTGAATATAGGTGAAGGTCATTATTGAGAACAATCCTCAAAGTTTATTATTTGAGCATGTAACTGGCCACATATCATCATCCTAGGTCTTTTGGTTATTCAGAAGAACTTGTTTAAAATTTTAGCAAACAAATTTGTTAGCCCTTTATCCCAGCATGCTACTGGGCAAATATCTTCATCTTTGGTCTTTTGGTAATTCAGAAGTTATTTCTGTGTTTTTTTTAAAGAAAACTGACCCCGAAGACCTTGAATATGGATGAAGGTAATTAATTTGAGCAAAACCTGGTAGCCCTTCATCTCTACTGGCCAAATACCATCACCCTTGCCTTTTTGAATATTCAGAATAACTCTTTCAAATTGTTTTTAACACATTTGACTCCTGTGACCTTGACTATGAGTCAAGGTTATTCACTTGAACAACCTTTGTAGCCCTTCAACCCTGCATGCTACTGGCCAAATACCATCACCCTTGCCTTTTTGAATATTCAGAACAAGTCTTTTAAATTGTTTTTAACATATTTGACTCCTGTGACCTTGAATATGAGTCAAGGTTATTCATTTAAACAACCTTTGTAGCCATTCATCCTTGCATGCTACCGGCCAAATACCATCACCCTTGCCTTTTTGAATATTCAGAATAAGTCTTTCAAATTATTTTTAACATCTTTGACTCCTGTAACCTTGACTATGAGTCAAGGTTATTCACTTGAACAACCTTTGTAGCCCTTCATCCCTGCATGCTACTGGCCAAATACCATCACCCCTTCCTTTTTGAATATTCAGAATAAGTCTTTCAAATTGTTTTTAACATATCTGACTCCTGTGACCTTGATTATGAGTCGAGGTCTTTAACTTGAACAACCTTTGTAGCCCTTCATCCCTGCATGCTACTGGCCAAATACCATCACCCTTGCCTTTTTGAATATTCAGAATAAGTCTTTCAAATTGTTTTTATTACATATTTGGCTCCTGTGACCCTGAATATGAGTCAAGGTAATTCATTTGAACAACCTTTGAAGCCCTTCATCCCTGCATGCTACTGGCCAAATACCATCACCCTTGCCTTTTTGAATATTCAGAAGAAGTCGTATAAATGTTTAAAACATATTTGACCCCTGTGATGTTGAATATGTGTGAAGGTCATACATACCAATTAGTGTAACTTTAATTACCTAGTACAGAACAAAATTTCCAAAATGTAGTAACAATTCTGTTTTCCTTCTATACCTACCAACTGGTTGACAGTGTAGTGTTTACTCTGTAACAAAGAAGATAGCAGTTCAGATGTAGCGGAGGACTTGGGCTTGTCCTCAACAGGTGTTGTGAGGTCAGTCTTCAGGGTCAAGGCCGTAGTGACGGAGGACCCTGAAGGGCCTTCAGTGGCCTAGAGAGAAAAAAAAATCATTATAATTATCACAAAAGTGTTTTATAAAATTGCTTCCAATTTTTCTAAGTAATCAATTAAGTAAATGTAATAAACCATGTTGAAAATACTCTATTCTCAATCAAATATAGATGTGTTTTGCCGAAGTTGATCCTTTTAAATAATTTCCCATTGGGAGATCTCAAACAGTAAAAGAATATTAAATCTATATGTATTTATTTAAATAACCCCATGGGTCCTTTTGACAGGAGATGACAAGCTAGATGAGTTTCTACTTATAATTCATAATGAGACGGACAAAATAAGTAAACAAAGGGCAATAACTTCATATTTAGTGGACCTTATTTCAGTATGTATCACTCTGGCATCCTTAAAGGTGCTAACACACAAAATTCAGCAATTGTAGGTGACAGGGTGAAGAGATGTACTGACTAACGGACAAAATGGTAGTGCCGTGGGGGGATTTTAATAAGAGACATCTCACCAGAAGAGGGGTTGGCTCCGTACCGGGCTCCTGTTTAATATTCTCCACATCTATCAAAGTATTTCCCTGTTCAGCAAACAGGCGACTCACAGTTCCTTTACGGGGCTTGTTGGCTGAAAATAGATTTTTGCAACTCAATATTATCATTGTAGTAGACAGATCTGAACATTTAAATATCATCAATGATTCATCATAATGGTGGACTAGGACAGAGCTTTCTAGGGGAGATCTCAAAATAAACATTACATGAGTGACCAGGAAAGAGCTCTCAATAAACATCATGTTGGACCAGGTAAAAGGCCCTGTAGGGAATGTCTCAAAATAAATGGAAGCACAGTGGACTGGGGCAGAGCTGTTTAGAAGAAATCTCAAAATAAACATCACCTTGGTTGACCAGGGAACAGCCCGTAGGGGAGGTCTCAAATAAATATAACTATGGTGGACTAGGCCAGCGCTGAGTAGGGGAGATCTCAAAGGGTATCATGATGAGTGACTAGGGCATAGCTGTATAGGGGAGATCTCAAAATAAACGGAATCATGGTGGACAAGGGCAGAGCTGTGTAGGGGAGATCTCAATATAAACAGAATCATGGTGGACTAGGGCAATGCTGTGTAGGGGAGATCTCAGTGAACATCATGGTGGACTAGGGCAGAGCTGTGTTGGGGAGATCTCAACGAACATCATGGTGGACTAGGGCAGAGCTGTGTAGGGGAGATCTCAGCGAACATCATGTTGGACTAGGGCAGAGCTGTGTAGGGGAGATCTCAACGAACATCATGGTGGACTAGGGCAGAGCTGTGTAGGGGAGATCTCAGCGAACATCATCACAGCATATCTCAGTATAAACATCATCAAGGTAAATTTGGACACTGAGGGAAACTTACCCACAGATGTCATGTTTAGATTTGTCCTTGAGAAATTTTCCCCTGAAAAATCTCATCATACACATCTTCATGGTGTACTATTCAAGCACAGCTGTCACAGTTAGATTTACCCTAAAAAAACCTTATCCTAGCAAGATACAAACCCAAAGAGTAATGGAAAGATATTGACTGAGAATTCTGTGTACTGAAGATTTGAACCAGAGAAATATCCATCCTATAGATCTGTACTGAGGAGATAACTATACACCAATATATCTGTACTTGAGTCATGAGATACCCGTCATACTCCAAATATTTCTCAGTGATACGTGCCCAAGTTTTTTGTTTGTTTTCGTTTTATGTCCTATTGACAGCTATGGTCATTTAAGGACGTGCCAGGTTTTGGTGGTGGAGGAAAGCCAGAGTGCCCAGAGAAAAACCACCAACCTGCCGCCAGTAACTGACGACCACCCTACATAGGCCTCCAACCAATGAACCAGTGGTAAAGGGCTAGTGATCGTAGATAGTCAGTAGTAAGGGGCTAGTGATCGTAGATAGTCAGTGGTAAAGGGCTAGTGATCGTAGATAGTCAGACGCTCTAACCACTTTGCCACCGTGGCCCCTGTGTTCCCTGTGTCCAAGAGAAATACATCTCTGAAGCATAGATTTCCTTGGAACCAATTTCAAAATGTGTCCAAGAGAAATTGGTCCTAAGAACGTCTGTACGTCAGAGATGTATTCTACAGAGGGCTGAATGTTCGAGAGAACGTTGTTCTTGAGAAACTTTCAAAAAAGAGTGTCCCAACTGACCTTCAGCCTCCTCTGCTAGCTTCCTCTCTAGTTGTTTGGCCTCCTCTGCAGCCTTTTTCTCCCTGTCACAAAAACATTCAAATAAAGCAAGTCAGCTCCTGGTTATAAGTCCACATTATTCATCAATACATCATTAAGGAAATCATTTTATTTGCGTATATATGCATGTTTTCGTGTTTTTGCACACATACTTATTGATTCATGAGAACATTTTTTTTCGATAGAAACTTACAAAAACTAATTTCTTTCATAATTTGGTCCAACGATACTCCACATGCTTCGTTAAGAGAAAGGTGATCTTGTTCTTGTTTGATAGATTTCCATGTGAAAAATAAAAAATAAGTTGGAAAAAGATTACCCGACATTTTTTTAAAGAAATTAGCCGACCATTAGCCAGGGGACACAACTCTGTCTTCTTTATAAGCTTGAATGTGTAGAATAATGTTTTTGTTGTGTTTTACTGTATTTTTAAAAGTCACATAATGCAAACTTCCAACACAATATCTGATAAACACTTGATTCAAGTGTAACTTGATTTTGTCATCATCAGTGCGTCACTCACATCTGCATCTGTTGCCATATATCAGCCAGTTTATCATCCATTTGTCCAGATCGGATACTTTCCATTTCCTTCTTCAGCTTCCTGTCAACAGAAACAAATAAAAACAAAGTAAGTAGAGGCTCACATAGAAATTCATCTAAATGTTATGTTTTGGCAAGGAAACATAGCCTGTTCCTTTATGAATTTGGGAAAGATAGCACTATTTTTATAGAAATTGGGAATATAATCCTCATTTTTTGGTCATTTTGGGGTTATTACATTGACCAGGCTTTGATTAACTTGGTCCTGAAAGCAACTCGCTGCTAAAGAATCCCTGTCCCACAGCACTGTGTTTTCCCCCCATTTATACTAACTTTCCCTTAAGTTCCGTTTGGATATAATAGTAGCACAGTTTAGCCAGGACACTTCCATAAACCAGGTAGCTCAATCCGTTAGAGCACTAGTACAACAATCTGAAGTCCGGGGTTCGAGTCCAGGTCTAGCCCCACTCAGTCTTACACTCAGAAAACTGTTGTTGATTATATTTTGTTCATTTCATCTTTACTATTCCTCACTAAAGTCTCGCAAGGTATCGTTTTCTTTTCAGAAATGATTTATCAAAGCTTAAGTCATACCGAAAAAGACAGTTTTCAATACTTAGTACAGGGCAGTAGTACAGGGATCCTGAATTCGTATAAGCAAACATCAAAATATATTATCATCAGCTATATATTCATATAATGTAGAAAATGCCTGTCGCTTGTACTTGTATCTTTGTTGCTGTTCAGTGACTTTCTTCTTCAGTTCTTCCATCCTTTCTATGCTGAGCTTGCGGATGATTTGTACTCCCGGTGTTTCAATCTCCCCTCGTTCACCTCGCTTCCGCCTGAAATTTACAAAGGCTATAGTGTCTGCACACTCGAACAAATTACTTCTTCATTTGTAGGTAAATGTGTGAGGTATCTGTACATGAACATGCAAACCTTACACTTTTTTTTTTTATATTTATCTAGTGCCCTTTAATCCCCCTGTTCCACTGAAGTTTTCCAGACAGACTTAACTCATTCACCCCTAAAATTTCATAATGAAATATTCCAACATTTGAATTGGAAGAGTTCAAATTTGTCTTCTTGGGTAAATGAGTTCAAATCAAACTGTTTCACAATCAAACTACTTTTTAAGAATTCAAATAAAAAAGCAAAGGACATTATTTGTTCCCGTAGTCCATGAATTTGTGAGGTTGATCACATTAATTTTTTGCCAAAGGCTGCATGTGCTTGACCTGCAATAATCTCTAAGGAATGCTACACCACAAGGTATAAGAAGGTATAAATAAGGGGTCACATTATTGATTTTCTAAATCCAGGATTGCTTAAAGAAGTATCTGTATATTCTGCTGTAAGTGTGAAATACATATGACATTCAATGGGTACCATTAAATTTTCTTAATTTCCATTATGAAGTAATTAAAACAATGTTACTGCATAAAAAAAGACAGAGAATCAACAGTCTTTTTTTTGTGTACAATAATATGTTAATGATGTCATGGCATGCTTGACAACAAGGCTATGTGCCATTTCTAATGACAGCTATTCAAGGCAATTCTACAATAATCTGTTAATATCTGATAGGATTTGCTTCAAAATATCATTAATTGCGTAGCTAGGTAAATACCTATGTGCATGTAGCATAGAGATATACCAAACACCACCACTTCAACCATGATTTCCTCAGCATCTGACCAGAAGATCTGCAGTATCTTGACACTGTGACAGTTATCACTACTGATCCATAACAGTGTAAAAGATATCAGTTTATCAAGTTCTTAGACTTCAATATGTCACTGGCAAAAATTGTAATAAATATACTGGTAATTCTTACTTTGGTGTTTCTGCCTTTTCCAGTAATTCTGCATATTGAAGGGCACAGTTCTGTAAAAAATAATCAAAACAGACAATATCACATAGTCAGCTTACAACTCTGAACGGACTCATTCAATTTTCTGTTAACACAAAAATAACAGTTTTATAAATATTTACAAATGTTGATCAGTCAATCAAATGGAATTTATAACAATGAAATGTGAAATACATGTAACAAAGACATATATACTGCAAGCAATACATGATCTCCTGGGGACAACCTTTGCTATCAAAATTAAATAAAGCGTCATAACTTATAGTGAGGCACATGAACCAATTTTGGTGTGTGACACCCTGCAATCTGCAAATGCAAGTAGCTGACAGAATATATCAGAAATGCCCTGGACAATGTAGTTCTTGGTGAAAAAGGGAAGCATCCTTGTGTATAAAGGGGCATATGACCTGGTTTGATATGTAACACTCCACCATCCCAAAATTTAACAACTGTAGGAGGAGTATATATGAGACATGTCCCGGACAAACTGATTCACAGTGAGCAAATGGTCATAACTCTGGGCATTACTCTGGGTGTGCGATCTCAATTTAATATATGACACTACCAGGTACGTAACTGGACCATATATAAATGATGTTGGGGTGTGGGGTGGGGTGGGTTGTGGGGGGAGGCTGCAGATTTGAAATCTAAAAGCACTGTTGAGCTATCTAAAATAAAATAAATAAATAAATATACAACATTTGATAGTGCCCTATCTAGCTAACATATATAAGCCACTCTAAAGCGCTTTACAGTACATAGATATACAACTTAATACAATGAAATATACATTAACCAATACAATTTTGAGGAATTCGCAGGAGCTGCCTTATCAGGCGCTAACTATTAGTCCTATACCACCTGGCTAATATCTCTCTATGTGTGAATGCCTGCGTGTGTGCTGAAGATATATTCTGTTCTGTTTGTAGTAGGACCGTACTTCCAACGGTATCATTTATAGTGCCACCTCACTTGAATGCCACAGCACAGATAGATGTTTTTGAGGGCATTACTTGCACGTTTCATGTACTAAGTATTTATGTTGGTTTTTTTGTATCAGAATCTGTCACTGGTGTGAGAACATCAAAAGAGAACTGAGCTGCCAATTGTTTACAGTAAGTCGGAGGACATTCATATGAGCCCATACTATTGTTCATTCTTTTAAGAAACACCTGACAAAAAATTGAAGCTTTGATGCATAATTACCTTCTGTGAGAAGCTTTCTGGTGTGTGATTGGGTTCTCCATAGGGCCTGATGGCTCTGCTCACTGATACCCTGTACAACAATAGCATAATAGCCAGTGTTAGCCTGTATTTCTGATAATCATATATCCAAGAATATTTTCCAAATAACTGTTAGAAGTGAGGTGTTTCCTTGTAAAATGCATATTTCAGCTTGATATTGATCAATGAGACACATTTCTTTGAGAAAGTGTCAGAGCTTAAATATGTTCTTTTCCTTTCAAGTATTTCAGTGTAGGAAATTAAATGAAAAATTATTTCATCATTACCCTCATCATGTCATATGCTGAATTTCTGTGTTTTCTATCATGACAAGTCACACAAAGTATACAATTTAACCCCTACATTGTGACATTTAGGGTTTCTTCTGGTTTCACTTGGTTACATATATGTACATACCACAGGCATGATCCGCACCTTCATATTATAAAACTTCATCTTCATCTTTTCATACAAACTTTATCTACACATTGTGATGATAATATAAATCACAAACCAGTTCTGATCCCCACTTCTCAATACGGAACATGCCAGTGCAAGTCTTTCTCTCAAAGACCATACCTCCAGCGGTCCTTGGTGCCGGAATTCTAGAGGAAAAATACAAGAAAAAAAATCAGAGAGATTTACTTCATAAATCACAGGAGCCTAAAGTTATGTCAAAAATTAATACTAACAGTATAAGTACTTTTTTTTCTAATTTTTGAAATAACTGAATTCAGCCTCCTGTGCAAAATTCCAATGATCAGTAAGCATACCTTGAGTTTTATACAGGCGATTTTATTCAAACTAAATTGGCTAGCTCTACAAAACGTTCATATATGCTAATTGACAGTGACTGGCATGTTATCTTTGGGTACATCAGGTTGGGCACAACGGCGCATATGGGTAATAATCCCGCATTTGGGTAACATCTTTGTATGTTATGGTTGAATATTTACATTCTGTATGCTTAGACCCATTGACAAAAATTACATTCATAAATGCATAACACAGGTGTTCATAGAATCTCAGCACGTGGGAACTGATAGTAACCTGATCACACTGCGTAGTAATACACTACAAAAACTACTCACTCGGAACGACCGAACTAGATGCTTAATACTTACATCTTAAAATATTATTGAACTGTGCTTTGTGAAATATCCACGTATTCACGTGTCCTGTGCTACAAATAAACATTGAATATGGAACTACATTTTGTTGTGTTATTGTTGTTGACGTCTGTCCGTTGCTAAGATCTCTCACGATAGAGTCACATTTCCCCGCGAAAAAACACTGTTCTCGCCACTGCGTTGCACCCGTGTATAAGCGGGAACAAACCCTGTTTATTTGTTTTATTTGTTGTTATATCGATCCACTGAAAGGATTCGTCAATGTAAATATAAGGAATGATATTTATTTTTTCAACATTTATGAGGTCATACGCGATTCATGTAAAATATGTCCAAAAACCCATTGTTGTTATGACCTCATAAATGTTGAAAAAATAAAAATCATTCCTTAAATGCACTTCGAATCTACTTTCACTATCGTATATAAAACATAAAAAAAATGTACTTCACTATCTTTATTAAAAATCGCTATTTATATGGTTATTATAAACAACTTTTGGTTGAACGTTTTTTCGTGTGTTGACATTTTCAAGATTTTAGATGTCCCGACTTTTCTAAGGCTTCAAAGGTCGTGAAATACTTTCAAAACCAAAAACTGTTCAACCAAAAGTTGTTTGTAATAACCAATAGATATGGCGATTTTCAATAACGTAAGTGAAGTACAAAATTTTGGTTTTTTATATAGGATAGTGAAAGTAGATTTGAAGTGCATTCGACCATAACATACAAAGATGTTACCCAAATGCGGGATTATTACCCATATGCGCCGTTGTGCCCAACCTGTACATGTAGGCCTACCTTTTCTTATTCTATTTAGTCATACCACAGGGGCAAGCAACTTGTCTTCTATTAGTAATAGTAATGTTTTAGTCTTGAAGTCGCTGGGTATTGACAGACGAGCGAATTTCATGTTAAAGGAATGACTCAGAAGTAACGAGCTTGGTACGTTCGATTATCGTCGAGATGAACAACTTGGCCCGCGCAATTACAACGTAACAAACCAAAGAGATTCGGCCGGTCGGGGAACCAGGCAGTGTTTGATTAGGAATGTGTAAGCTAATCGGCTTCTCTTTATTGTAATAGAAAATAATAATACAAAGTTGATCAGCATGACTATCAGGCACTGTCAGGACCTGGAATTCGCATGTTTCACACAATAAGAATACTTACTGGGGGTCGCCATTTTTCCCGGAACTTGATATTAGTATTCTAAAATTAAAAGCGGATTTTTTTTGTCCGGGTCGTCCTCGCTGACAGCATTACAGTCAACTTTTAAATAAGATAGAGAAATGAAGATATGTGTAAAATATATGCTAGAATACATTCTTTTTCTTGGTTTTTCTTTAACCCCCCACACCAAAATAAATAGAAGAAAATTCCGAAAAGGGCTACATATCAGTAGTATAGCCACGGACTTAGATAACATCTAATTCCGTGGTATAGCCCATTATTTGAAGGATTTAGAAAAAACGTCAAGAATGTGTAAGTTAAAAAACAGAGATGCAGAGCTCTGCTATTTCTCTAAAATAAGCTGAGTATGTTTACAAGCAAACGAGCAATCACATGCACAGCAAGGATTCATGTAATAACATTACTTTTTTTTTCTATTTACGTTCGATTCTACTTAAACATTTGATACATTAATGTGTATCAGCAAGATGAGAGGGAAAAAACAAGAGAATAACGAAAACCGTAATTCGAACTCAAAATTAACATCATTGTAAAAACACTTACTCGGAGAATAAGACCAGATGTTCCAGAAGAGTAAGCGTCTTCCGCAGGCTTCATTGACGACACTCGCCATGTAAATCAAATTTCAAGTCCTCAGAGTGAGACTGAATCTCGATAGTGGCAAAGAAACCATTTTATTAAAATCCATATGTATACATGTCATATATAGGAAAAAAATGTTTCACAATGAGAACATGATGGCGACAGTAAAACTTGCCGATTTTCCATATAGGGCTTTTTCTAAATCATGCATCAGCACTGCTTCTTTGGATGAACCTAGAATGGAGCCAAAAAAACACAACAGATTTAAAGAGGTGCTTGATCTCACTCAAGAGATTAAATATCAAACCAGAAAAATTATCTACGCACTTGATAAACAACAAAAATTCAACGAAAAGTAATTAAGATAAACGAAAGATTGGGATTTGTATTAAAAACTGTTCACCACTGAAAGGAATTTGTGATACACCTTACAGAAGAACTAATTACATGGACATGGACTCAATACGATCAGGAAAAACTCCAGTTTTCTACGAAGTTGAAGTATGTCAGATGGCCAACCATATCGAAATTGCAACGATAGGAAACGGTATCTCTAATTGAAGTTGTGAAGCCTACGGACAGTGGCAGATATGGTCGAGAAGAGCAATACTGGGAATTTTCTCTATCATTATTTTACGAATAGTCTCAAGGCACGTGTTTTTAATTAAAGTTTTCATATACATCAGATTAATAGAGTCAATCATGATCATACGTAGGTAAGGTGGGATATGGATATATAAGTACTTGGATGCAGAATTTGGTGTTTGAACTTCGACAATGCCTCAGTTCTGACACGGAATTAGACCGAAATTCCGCACCCGACGGTAAACTATTCATATTCCACAAATTCACATAATCATTGCCTTTTTTTTCTCCCACCTAATTTTGACCACTGTTAACCGAAATTACAGCAAAATTTCTAGATATACACAAACTAATTCCATATTTGGAAAGAGTAGCAAAAAGCACGGTATACTGGGTGTCAGATCGTTTCGGTAACAAGTCGTTTCGGTAACAAGAAGGACCCAAATCGGGCACTTTTTTCCGGGTCGTTTCGGGAGTGTCAAAAGTCGTTTCGGGAAATCTCGATTATTTTCTACTGTTTGTTCTGCACACGTGTTTGTTTAGTTACTTTTTAATTGAATACTCGATTTTGTTCTACTATTTGTTTGTTTAACACGCACGTGTTTATGTCTGGTCGTTAAGCACACGTGCATGATTATGTTTGTTTTGTTTACTTTTTAATTGAGTAGTTTTCAAAATCTCAGCAAAACGAACAGTAAGGAGATCTTTGATTTCATAATTTTAACTTAGGTTTACAAAAAAACGTTTGGAGATGCTCCGAGTACCTCAGTGAGGAGATCACTGTTTTCATAGTTTCAACAATGCCTAGGTTTAATTTAACGCATTCTACCACAGGTAAGTCTCAAATCTAAAGATCTATACAGAACCTTCAGGGCAAGCTAGTTTGACAGTCCTTGATCATGAGATGGTGTCACTCACCGACGGCAACATTGCCACAATCAATCAAACGGCGTTTTAGCGTGTTTTTTTTAAATTGTGGCATCATAATAAAACCCCGTAATCTGATTGCAACCTTATTTATGCAATTCGTTAAGAAAAGTACTTGCTTGGCAAGTTGCATGGATGTTTTTAATTTATTTATGAATGATCAATAATCTTATCATTTTATAATACGCATTCATAAAAGCTGTTCATCAGTTAGATCACGGACTTACAAAACTAATCTAATTCCGTGGTTAAATATTCAAAGGCTTTAAACGGCAATTAAGGAATTGATAATTCCAATTACAGTACCCAAATCGGGACACTTTTTAGTGAAATTGTGATGTATTTCATACCATCCCAGTCATTTTTGTTCACTTTTCCTAAATAGATATCATCATGATCTTTTCATTTCGATAACACGGCGCATGATTCTATAAATAAACCAGGAAATATAGTCATGGTTACGTAATCGCGAAACAGGTGTAGCTGTACCCAAATCGGGACACCCCTACAAGTTTTGGCTTATATTTGGAGATGAATAAAATATTTAGAAATACATGGCATATCTTTGGAATATTAAATAGTCAATGGCCGTTCTGAATGATTTTTTTTCCAAACTACCATTAGTTGTGAAATACAGTAGTATTGTGAAAAAATCACATACACAAAATTCTTGTGACGTTTTCCTTCAAGTGTTCCGATTAGGGTACTGTGACGGTAGCTTTGTAATATACGCATGTTTATGAGGCATTTCTTTAAATAGATATTGGAAATATAATGCTAAAAAAATTCCAGGAAATGTATTCAATTTAATTTAATTTTTCGAATGGAGGCTAATCTCGATTAAGACATACATAATTGATGATTTCTTTCCAAAGCAATACGGCAAAATAATGCGTTTGATAGAATTATATTGTTCCCTAGAACAAAATCAATACGAGCATTATTTCTGAAGGTCACCTTTAAAGCTTCCACATACACATCAGAAATATCGATGAACAAAATGCCACGGGCCGGCGTCATCGTCACAAGTTACCTCCCTTAGAGGAACTCGTGACATGTAAAATCACATGATCAATAACCTTTCAAGATGGCGAAAAGCAAGGTGGATATGAGCTCTCTAAACGGACCTTTAGATGAGCTTGCGGGAAGAAAAATACAACAACTTGCAATTACAAGGGATTATATTTCACAGCCTAGGCTAAGTATGTCTAAATTTTGTTTTATATTGTCCATATGCGCGTAATTCTATTATTTTTTGCTCGGTTACATGAGCAGTCGGTCAGCTGGTGACCGGCCGAGATGTAATTTCGGCGATAAGCTATGTATCCGGGTGGTTTGTACCTAGTAGCATCGGAATTCACTGGACTGACTTCTTTTATAAAGGCTCTTACCTTGAGAAGTCAAGAATACGTACCTTAGTTATTCAATCACTGTAGGGTAGAAAAATTGACCGTGTGTGTAGGTACAACTTATTTAGAAAAAAATACAAGGTCCTACTTCAAACGGCTTTATGGAGAGTAATAAAGATATCCATTGCATATTACTCTCCAGAATAATAATTGTTTAGTCTTAATTTAGGTAAGAGAATTTTCGCTTTTCAAAACAATTTCTTCAACATAATTAAACACACCAGCTTTATTTAAAGCTAGCATTTTTTCTGAAAACAATTTATTCCTGTGAAGGATAAATTGATTTAGAAATATATTTGTATAGGGGACACATGAAGAAAGCACAGTACATGTATGACAATGTAATGTTTTATACACTGATATGGGTCACAGCACATTTTTTGTATATCAAGAACCAGTATCACTTTATGTGTATGGGTATTTGTAATTAATTCATGCGAAGAGTGTAAATTAATATTAGTGTCTCCCAATTATTTTTGTAAAGATGAAAAAGTTTGAAGAATAATGCATATAAAATCAGCAGCATGGAGGACACAAAACCCCCAAAAAAGTCACTGGTTGAAACATTAGTTGAAGTGCTGGGGGTGTGTTTTTATCTAGCAAAACAATTAACTTCTGGGAAGTAATCGCAAAAATCTAGGTACCAAAATGACTGAATACAGAAATGTCTGTATCCCTGACCCCATTACCACTGAAATAATATGGGTCTGCTATTTGTTGGTGACATGGCAACTCACAGATCCTTTTTCTGGTCAAACTTAAACTTTGCCAGTAATATGCAATGGATATCTTTATTACTCTCCATATTCATAACAAGTACATTGGAACACGTTTTCACATTGACATGTCCCAATATTAAATATTTGAAAAAATGTCTCATATTCCCCTATGATATCAATATTTGGCATTTTAGGACAAATGTCACTGCTATTAAATCTGTTCTGTTGAGCCATTTTAATCTATAGAGTTTTTCTTATTGGTTTGAAATGGTTCTGTGTTTAAATCAGTTTCTTTCCAGCTGCATATATATACATTTCCATTTAATGTTAAAAGGCAAATATCCATTTACTGACCATATATTTGACAAACTCTTTAATTGTAACTAGCATTAATATGTAAATGTACATATATGGATGCTTTTTGGTTTTGTGCCAGAGGGAATTTCCCTTTAGGTAAATTTGAAGAGAGGTACGTGGACTTGAGAGATGTATGGGTTTAGCTTGTTCGATCCCTTGGTGGTCTGTTGCAAATAACAGAATCATTCCAGGAATTACCCACTGTTCCATAAAATATGATGGTTTTGATTTTAATGTGATAGGAATAGAAAGGTGAAGCAATGATTGAATGGGCAAAACTACTAAGTAGTTTGGCTTGGTGCATTTTTTTTGTGCATATTGGACTCAAAATAAGCTAGCTAGGGCAAACATAAAAATTTGCGCCAGATAATGCTGTAAAAAAAGAACATACGGACATTCAATAAATAGGGCTGTCACTGAATTCAGAGATGGTATCTAGGGAAAGTAATAGCAGAGACCTAAAGTAAAGGGACCGCCGACTCCCAGTGGCGGGAAAATATGTTACCGATTTCGCAGTACCCTCACCGGGTGTCATACAATATCAAGGCCGATAACTCGTACAGTCTATTCGCCATTGGTAAACACTCGAGTGCCGTCAATAATTTTTTGTTAAGCATGGATTTCACACAACATGAATTAAACGAACTGTTTGAGGTATGTGTGTTATTCTAATATTATATTCCCACACCTAAAATAGAAAAAAGCAATACCTAAAGCATTATTCGTGGTCTATAACATATAATGTTCACGAAGCAGCCGAGTCGGATTTTTTCAGATTTTAGTCTGTGGTTTCACTTTCACTTCACCGGTCAGGTGCCGTTCTGGTGATAACCTCTTGTGAGAACATTCGCCTATTTTATATGTCAATACTTTTCCACAATATATTTTTAATCAATGTGCCTCGTATGTATACTATGCTACGCAGTGAGCTGCACCCACATGTACAAGCTGACAAGTACACATGCCGTGATGATGATGGTTCCCTTGTTGACGCACTCTGGTTCCGGCCCGGGTCCTGGACAGCAATATACATATCCTAAACCTTCTTGGACACGTCCCGTGTATACTTTAGGCCATGTTGCTTTATGTTTTCAAAATTAATCATAAGAATAAGAAAGCAGAAATTAATAATAATAATCAGATTGTTTTNTCATAAACAAGCATGCAACATGGCGGAGCTTCAATTAAAAAACCCTCCCGCAACCTTTCGTTCGCCTGTTTGGCAGCATTTTGGATTCTGACTAAATGTCCCCGATGAAAAATCACTCTCCACTAGCTGCATGTTTCGTAGATGTAAGTTTCAAGTCAGGGAACACATCAAACATGGCGACGCATTTGAAGAGGAAGCATAACATTTCGTCATCCTGTATCGTGTCAAAATGTATCGTATCGTGGGTAGATATCGTGATACGTATCTTATCGTGGCATAGGTGTATCGTTACAGCCCTTATCTACAATGTACAATAAATGTAAAGATACTTTGTGTAATGACAGTTTCTGTAATGGAGAACGAATTTAACCCACACACAGGCGATTGCACCTTTAAAAGGACTAGGGGCATTAGGAGTCATTTCATCAAGGATCAAGAATCAGTTGTTATATTCATAATCTGGAATAAATGAAGTACGCAAATACAAATTTTCAAATTCATCCGACAACTGGTATAGGAGATATGGCACGACAATTAAGAGATGTATAAACTGACATTTTTCATAATAAAATGCATGAATACCATCTGTTGTGTGTTATTTACATTCAAAGTTGGCCATCAAATAAATATTTGACATGCTTGATTAAACACATTGTCATACCAGTGTTCATTCGTAGAAAGAAAAAAAAATGTTTGTCACATGTTGAGGCTTTCATTTCTGCATTCTGAATAATAACAAATTAAACACTATATTTCAACTACATCTGCATAGCAATGCAATTTTGTTGCCTATGGTAAGGCATCTACAGATGTGCATTGAAAAAAATCTGCACCTGGAAAGGTAGCCTCAATTAACCAATATGATGTTTATAACAGACAGTGGTAAATGAAATCAAGTTGAATTTGTTTTCTTTTTGTGAGGCCGAAAATGATCCATAATGCGCCAAGTCCTATGGAAATGATACACTAAGCCACAAATGAATTACACAGCAATATACAACAGAGATCACTGTGGTCATCAAGCTTACAGTACAACAGAATTCTTGAACAGGTTTTGCATTTTAATCAGTCCCTGACCTGTATAGAAAATGAATAGGACCCACTTATTTTCAGGAATATTATTAATGCTATTCAAAATATGCAGAAGGATCTTATATAATCTGAAAAGGACCTTATTTGTTTAATACCCAGAATTTTCATTTCCTGCTTACAGACAGGTTTTTAGTTCCACTTTATAATTTGATTGTTTCCTCAAATCAATCGTACCAAGTAATTACATAACATTAGTGCTGTATTAAACTAAAATAAGGTTCAGTCCCAGTCGGAAAAGATCAATCGAGATTATAGACAGGTTTTTTTTGTGAGTGCTTGGCCCACTTGTATAAAACATCTCAAAGTTAAGGTAAATCTCAAGCAGTGTATTGTCTATGGGAAATCTTAGACCTTGTCTGATAACTCCTTATTCTAAAATTACAACATAAAAAATATTCGGCCAGCAGTAGTACTCATACGTAATCTAGAACCCCTTAGGTGATTTCAAGGTTTGAATACATAAATGTATTTATCATATGAATACCATGTTATGCAGTGTCATAAAGCCATCACATAAATTATGTTTATGTAACGTGTGTAATATCACTCCGGAGATGACGTCACAATCAAATGGGAACAATTTTCATCGTTTCAGAGGTGGCCATCCAAAATATTTGTTTCAGATCACAATTATACAGTTTACTTTGTATTATATGATAAAAAGAATCTATAATTTAGATTAATGTTACTCGTTTTGGATTTTTCATATTTGCTCCCCAGAGGCGCGCAAACATGAAAAATCAAAAGCTTGTTTCACATATCTAATAGGAAGGGAAACTTATGACAGATCCTCTATATTAATACCACCCAAATTTCAATGCCCTGGGCAAGGTTTGAGTACTCCAGAGCAATTGGTACTCCAGTGTTAGGCCCTGCCTATCATCTTGCTCTTTGCTCCTTACATACTTTGTGACCAAACAGTTTTACACATAGAAAGAACCTGGTACTTTATACATAAACAAGATGTACATAAATAGCTGGTACTTAATACATAAACAAGATGCATGTACATAAATAGCTGAAGGAGGAAGCAGTGTCCCAGTGCTCTAACTGAGAATTGTCCTTAACTGTCGGTAAGTCCTGCTATTGATTCTTCGATCTCTAGCGTAGCGCAGTATGCCCTAGCCCTCCAACACAGACCTGGGAACTGATGTAAATGCTCCATTGAGATTTAATCAATATAGCACTGCAAGTCCCTCCTTACAATGTTTGTCTACGAAATAGAATTGGTGTTTTTGGAAGTGGGACTTGAGGTTATTGCGCTCTGCATTGGACATTTATAATTATTTCAGGTTGTTTACACTGCTGATATATAGGGCTCTTATTAATTACTTCAGCCAATTCAGCATATATGTATGTTTACAGGTACTTCTGCAGAGGAATTATCATTATATATTAATTATTTATCAGGGTCTACTTGAAGAAGATACAAAATGTATGCTACTTCACTATGGCATGTACGTACATGTATATCTAAAAGTGCACCTCATAATCGCCAGTTTAATTATATGTAGACTTTCTTTCATACATAATAACAGGTGAGCACTTGTACTTTTTGTCATCAGTATCTGTCATCAATATATAGAATGATGACAGCGCCTTCATTTCTAAATGGATTTGGTCAAGCTTCATTTAGCATTGAAATATAAGAAATCATAATATACAAACAAGTGTTTGTTTCAGTGTGATGTCATATGACAAAGGTCAAGGTCGAAGTATAGTCTACTATTTGTAGAAGATCTTTGTTTTCTAAAGCAGCTTTATAAACATTCACCCTCCCAAAGAAAACTGTACATGTTGATTTACAAATGTGCAGAATTACAGATACATGTAAAATGAAATTCGTTGATTAGAGAATGAAAATCTCCAAATAGTAAGAATGGATGTGTTTCTATTAACTTACCAGTGGTACCAGTACATTTTGACAAGATGTTAGGTCTGCTGTCTTACAGACTGTTGTGGATTAGTTTAATTTGTACCATTAACTCATTCACGTGCACCCCTACATATCTTAACTGGACTAGTACTGGACTTGCCCAGTCATTTGTTTGGTAAAGTTTAAATGTGACTTTAGGGTTGAGTGAGTTAATCATGTTTGAGTATATTAACAGTAGTCGTTTCAGTTATTAAAAACCTGCATATTTACTAATTAAAGTCAATTAAGTAATTAATTAAGGTACATAAATCTTATATTAGCTTAATTCATAGGTATATTTTAAAGGTAGCATAAATATCATTAACTAGGGGGAATAGCTCTAGCATAAAAACTTACCTGGTAACTGTTATATGTAAAGTTGTACTGTCTAAATATACACTGATTACTGATCATGAACTTCCCTAGGTAAGGTTCAGGGTTATATGCCAATTAAATGTTTTAAGGAACATGGATGTAATATTTCTCAACATAAATCTTTAAAAATGTTCATAGAGCATGTATGATTTCTTCGTTTCACAAGATTGATAAAATGATTCATTCTGACGTGGAGATTCAATCCCTAGATGTCTTTACTGTAAGGTAATTATATACAAGGAGCGTGTATTCTATGCTCCCGGACACAATATTTGTTGCAAATGTTAATACCTCTTTGCGACACAAATGTGTTTTTTTTAAAACATTTTGACTCATAAAGAAGATCTGCAAACTTGTATAGCCTTTGTGTTAGTTCAGAGAGAGAGAACGAGAGAAAATAACCTTTCAAAGCCGTACAGAGTAGCTAGCATAAAAGAGGCTGCCTATCTACCTGAAGTGTAAAATTGATAAAGAAATCACAATTTTACACTTCTAGTACACTGTACGTAGTGTCAATAGCTTGCAGAGATAACATTTAACTGGGTGTATACAAACTATACATAACTGTATAGTGAAGATCGTACCAGATAAAACACTTACATATTACCCCTATATCCTGTCGTCAGTATATAGTATTATCAGGACATGACTGTGCGTAATACTTTATATGTATAATCTTCATAGTATAGCTTATACTTTTACTCCATGTTATATAAGAACCCTTCCTACAAAAATATATCTTTGTGGGATAGGGATATACCATATGATGAGGATTTATCATTTAATGTGTCGCCTATGAAATTTGTCGAATTCCAGACTTCTGATTATTGATCTGAGGATGATGTGTTCCTTTCACACAATGATTCGTGATGAAGGATTACATTTTCCCCACAAAAACGAATATGGGGGCATTATTCTAATTCACAGAATTAGCAAAACATTAAACTGTCTCTACGTTGGAGAGAAAATACATCCTCCGACTACGAAGATCATGTCACAAAATAGTTTATTCCATAAGTTTGGTTTGGTTTCTTTGTGATTTACGTCCTATTAACAGCCATGGTCATTTAAGGACCTGCCAGGTTTTGGTGGTAGAGGAAAGCCGAAGTTCCCAGAAAAAAACACCGACCTACGGCAAGTACCTTGCGACTGCCACATGTAGGCCTCAAAACCACGACCCAGTGGTCGAGTACGTACTAGTGGTAGCAGAATGTCAGACGCCTAAACAACTTGGCCACCATGTTATATTCCGTATGAGTAAACTGTGAATCAAGTTGACATTCTTGTTACTTTAACCAGTTTTATGTTTTAAAATAATTTCAAATATCTTAAATGAGAATGATGCTGCAAGAAATCACCCTTTATACCATCCTGTGTATTGTATATAATTACATAGCACCATTGGATTGTTTTGGGTGGGTTTTTTTACGAAAAGTTAACAAAATATAAGATACAAGTACTATTTACCTGGTACATGTAATACATTTTTGCCGAAAGTTATAAAAAAAATGGACATGAAAATGGAAAAAAACAGACAAAAAATGAACATATACATCTGTATGTGTCCTTATTTTCAAATGAGTACATAAAAAATTGAAAGAAACAGATAATAAGTTTCACTTGGCCTAACAAGATCAGTCATTTCAGGAAGTGTTGGGGTCGTTATATTGGTGTAAACGGACCTGGCAGGTTCTAGGTATACCTGTATATAACATGCCTTAGGTTATGTGTTACTGAGTCATTTATTTATACCTTTATATTCAATCATAAAATATAAAGGATGGTTCAGGAAGATTTTTCGTTTTCAATGCTTAATTCCAATCTAGAGTGTGTTTGAATTAAAAGCATTGATTTCTGTCAATTAAAATTGGATCTGCACTTCCTCCCAATTTCGGCTACATTGATTCTAAGTTGATAGCACCTGTTTTTAGCCATGAAAAGTACCTGTATGAATTTGATACGCCTTGAATTACTATTATACTATGATATGAAATTTGTGTTACTTCTGATCATGAAGACCCATAGGAATACGTACAATGTAATATTACATGTTTGAAGAGTTTAAATTGTGCAAGATGGGGCCCCATAGATTCCAGTTATTCAAATCATACAATACATATTACATTTATATATATATATATATATGTACATGTATTTGCATTATCCGTAGATTACAAATGAGACTCGACTGCATAATTACTTTGGTGCAGTGTTGCTGAAAGCCTGGTTATCTTAACAGTACACAATGGAAAACTTCAATCTGGTTTGTCTGTTGAAAAATATTGAAATTTTTAATAACAAAATGAATTTTTAGGCATTCAAAGTCACTACATGAAGGCAAGAAGCTAAAAAATATTTGTAAATTTCAAGAATTTCTCAAAAATAACATTTTGAAATTTAAGCTCATCAAGTTGAATAAGTTTGCCCTGAAGCCAGCATGTTCTATCCGTACATATATACCAGCATGCAAATTAGTATTTCTGATCTGAGAAACTGTCAATGATATCACGTCACCACAGCTGGTACCACTGTAACGTACTTCCAGCGATTTATCATTGATTTAGATCAGTTTCCTAACGTCCATTATTTTACTTTTCAGCCTACAAAACAGTGTCGGGTGTAAATGGGCCCCTGGTTATATTGGACGATGTAAAGGTAAGTTTAAATTTATACTTTACATCAATTTTACTATTAGGCAAGATAAAATTATATTAATATATGCAAGTTTTCAATTCAATTAGGATTTTGAGAGCAGGTAGATTAAGGAAGTCAAAAAGATTTTCTTATTCAAATATTTGTTTGTCGCATCATGAATGAAAGTATTAATTTGCAACAAAATGTCATTCTGATTGTTTCAAAAAATTATAAACATTCCTAGAATGTACTTCAGTTGATTCTGGATGAGTGGATCTCTTGTTTTAGCCCTGAAAATGATTTACATGTACCATATTTATCCAGCAATAATTATAAGCACACAGGGCTAAGACATTAAATCTGACTCAAAGTAGACGGTGGACTTATTTTAGGACAATGAAATAGCATTGAGCTTTTATACTGGACTGTACATGACATGGGTGGGCTTTTTACCGGGTTTTTGGTGAAAAATACAGGGTACTATATATATATTTATATGGTTTTTACTATATATATGTATATTGGATCCATCGCAGTATTGAGAGGCGACTAATGAGACATTCCGTTTCACTGTGTCTTGAAAAAGGAGCGGATCGCTCCGAAAATTTGACAACCTAAACTTGTCCACACTGTTGGAATTACTTCTTTGCCCCATATATATATAGTAGGAAATATTGATAGGTAATTTTCAGTTTTTTGTATCTTCGTAAGCTATTTTACTGATAGAAGCGTTTGCAGTCTACTAGAAGCCAGATATATAAATTACATATACATCGTACATAATCCTTGTCGTATTTTTCTGTCTGTAGTTTCCTAAATTTGCTGAGATTGTGGAGTTGACTCTTGCTGATGGCACACAGAGAAGTGGACAAGTGCTGGAGGTCAGCGGGTCCAAGGCTGTCGTCCAGGTAATTGTCAATGATCTTATTGACAGGATTTGAGGATTCTTAACACTTGCACATATGATAATAATATCCTATAATATGATCATGACATTAGGATATCGTAAACATTGAACATATTGGAATTTTAAAGTAACATGTAAGTTGGCTTTCCTTTTGTTTATAACTTTAGTTAAATAAAATAAAAACATTTCAGACCTATCCTCCCTTCTTTGCTCTCAAGTGTAAGCAGAAACAGCTATTAGTGTCCTTGAATAATCACTGTAATCTTTTGTGTCTTTTTGCATTGTCTAAATACTAACTCATTCACCCCTGAAGACACATTTGAACTCTTCCAATTCAAATGTTGGAATAGCTCTTTATGAAATTTCAGGGGTGAATGAGTTAAGTAACAAAGATACCAGATGTAATGGAAAACAAATCTGATGTTCACCGATTCCACATGCCCACAGCCATGACCAATGTAATAGTAAATATTTGTGACAAAGAAATATATTACACTACATGTCAATACATGTACACCTTTCAAATATCATGATATGTTTGTGAAACACTTAGTCATAATGTACAGCCCCTAAAATCTACAGCAGACAGTGAGCTGATTCAACAATAAACCAAAGGGACCTTTGCTGACAACTTTGGATCACAATTGTTACAGTAGTACTTTTCTAGAGACTAAATATACATAATTTGAATTATTTAACTGCTTTGATATAAGTCTAAGTATCTTTGTTGCCCATCTTAGCAATTCTTTCCTCTTCCATTACGGCACAACAGCCTTTGAACTTTCAGTTTCATTTTCTGTTGCATGTGTCACATTAACCATTATAAACCCTCGGTCATTAGAAAAACCTTTCCTTCGTCGTGAAATAAGGTCCTCTCTTTAGGAATACAGGTTCTCGGTGGCAGACTGATAAATATCCAGCTGTACATGTAGTGCTAATGTCAGCCTGACTTAATTGAGTATCTGAGCCTGTAAAAATCATTCGCATTTCAAAATATAGTCACTGTGTCTGCCCTGTCACCCCTCCATAACTTTACTCTACCATGCATTGAGCATGCCGAGTCCATTATGGTCTACAGTGGTGAAAGGGTTAAGAAGACATTTCCAGTTATATATAAATGTCTATACGTCATGTTGCAAACTCATATAAATGACATTTTCATTTGCCTCATTACCAGTGAAAATTGGTCAGTAGATGAGCTCTATAAATAGATCCTTTCTTATTTAACACAAACCTTATGCACATGTATTCTCAATATAAAAGGATTCTTTAAAAAGAAAAATTCACCCAAACTGTCTGTTTGAGAGAATGAAGTACATGTAAAAGAAGCGTGTAGGATCTGTTTGAGAGAATGAAGAACATGTAGAAGAAGCGTGTAGGTCTATCACAGAATAAACAGTTTTTAGCCTTCCTCATTCATGAAGATAGTAGGATTTGAAAATGTACAAGAGCATTGCAAAACACTGGGTAAACAGCCTAAAGCAAAATAACATTGATTTAATATATTCTCTTCTGAGATAATTACATTTTACTTGTTTATATGAGATTTAACATTAGATGAGTGGGGGACAGAGTGGATAAAATTGCTCTTAACCTCAAAATATGAAAGGAAAACATTTAGAAGACTTGATTTTAAGATTGTGATGTCTATACTAATTCTTGTATTTTGTGTATGAACCAGTGTTCTCAGTATATTTTCAAACAGGTGGTTGACCTGAAAATATTAATCAGTTTAATGCTTCACATGCTATATTATTGTACCTCATCTTTAGAACGAGACTGTCTGATTGGACAATACTTGTCACATAACGGCACTTCGCCTTTGTGAAACATGATTATCATCAGAGAAACAAAAAATAAATGTATAATGTTGACCTATACATATTGTGAAAAAAATAACTGGTTCAAAGTTGATGAATTGCAGTCTACTGGCTTTGAATGAGAACACTGAACAAGCACGTATGCTGGGCATTCTATATCAAGTTCCGTAACTTGTTTGACCAACATGGCCATAATATGACGTTTTTTTTGTGAATACTGGTAAATGATCATAATCTTTTGTTTTATCTCTATGTCGGACTAAGCATTAAAGTTATATGAGCTATGACATTTATTGTAACTGACTCTTTCAGATACATGTTTAATTATGTTTAAGTGTTGGGTAGATGATAAAAAAATGCCAAGAACTAGTACTGGTATATGGTACTTCTTTTGAACTAGTTTATTAAGAGGTAACTAGCTAACATACCGATTATTTCAATAAATACATGTACATTTATTTCAAAGTTTACTATATTTTTGACAGGAGAAACACACGCACCTTATAGATCATTCTAAATGTTAGTACAAAAACTGATCATTATCGATGTTCCATTGGTTATGTAATGTACGTGCAGTCGAAGATTGATCATGAAAAGAGAACCAATTCCCATCACATGATCACATAGTGTAATACAATACCTGTCTGAACAATTCATTATTTCATTTATAATGATGGTGCCCCTCTTGGCTAATTACATGTGCTTGGCACGCTTATTATTTGATTAAGCTGACAATGCTTAAGATACACAACTTTTACACTTTTAATCTGTGTATAGTTTTTGAAGCATGGGTAGCTTAATAAAAAGCTATCACAACAGTAAATTTACAAACTGCATGCTTTTGCTTTTGCTAAACAAAAAATCCTTCAGGAAGAAGACTTGGAATTATTTGCAAAGTTTAAGATATAGTAAGAAAAATGTTTTTGAAAATTGTCATACATATTACCTGAGGCTGACCAGGCTTTGAATTTACTGTATAAATGCTTATCTGCTGCGGACAGCCAAACATATTTGTTTACTTCACGAGATTGCTCTCACACCCGGCAACAGAACCCTCTGACCTGCTCCTAGCATTTGTAGCTTAAATTTAATGTCATGATCTGGTGCCTGGGAGCTTTCCTTCACAGGCCTGAGAAATACCTGTTTTAGTATAACCCAATACCAGTGGATATACCTGCCCTAAATTTTTATGTCTACCCTGCAATATTTTCCTGAAGGTCATGATCAGGATATTGAAATCAACACCTGAATATATAAAAAAATATTGTGTGCAATAACAGGATTTTCCTTAATCTGTTCCCTGTCGTTTATCGGAGATGTTACCGGAAACACGTATATATTGATTTTACTGGATATAAACAAAGACAACCTTAAATCACCAATATTTCGGGCTTTTATAGGTCTACTTTGGATTCAAATTTTGATCCCATTACCTGTTGGTTAAAGGACCTGTTTTTCTTACATTCTCTTAAAACATACCCAATTAAAAGAAAAAAAATCTTTTTAGCTTGTATTCGTATTCAGATGATACATCTAACAATTACAAAAAAAACATCATAAATAAGTGTGGTGGGGGGGGGATTGTAGTCTTAAAGATGATACTACAAAGAAACCCAGTTAATGATATTACTGTGACACAACTTTCCTTATCCAAACACCACAGGTCCCTTTTCCTTTTTCGTGGTTATCTTAATGTAATTTATTTTTTTTGCTTATTCAACAAGTCTGAATTAGTGTCAAAGCAGTATATATATCTATCTGACGTGTATCGTTATGTGCTAAAGATAAATACAGTATAGCATTTAATTGTTAAGTGTGAATGTTTTTTTTGTTTTTTTATATGTCATGGATGTACAGAAAAATCGTTTCAGTCCTTGCAGATAGTTTGAAGCGTGACCACTAGAACAAGCATTGTAAAAATAAGCGATTTTCAGTATGCCAAAAATAATATAACTATATTCCTAACTTTTTACCAAAAAAAATATCTTCTGCTGTACAATAACCAAAGTTGATATTTGTATAAGTTGCAGGATATAGGTACTCTCCTAGCTTTCTGGGCATATTTTGTCTGGCCATCTGCATTTCACATTTTTCACCTGTTGTAATCCGCATACTCTATATATTTTATAACCCTGAACAGTTCAAAACAAAGTTTACTGAAATCAACAAACTCCAATCTGATGATGGTCAATTGACCAACTGGGTACAAGACCTTCGTAATCTAACTTTGATATTGTTGTGCAGGTGTTTGAGGGAACACATGGCATTGATGCAAAGCACACCACATGTGAATTCACCGGAGATATTCTCAGGATGGCTGTGTCTGAGGACATGTTGGGTAAGTAATTGAAGAAGTCTGAATCTGGTAGGTTTTATAAACCTTATCGATCATCACTCGCTTGATATGTTGTTTCTCCAAATTCTGTAAATTTCATTTTCACTTGAGATTTATTTAATTTTACCAATGATAATAATTCAATTACTTTCTGACTGTTTTGTACTTTTGAAAAGAATTAACACAGTTTAATTGTGATGATGACACGACCAGGTAGCTCATTAGTTAGAATGATAGTATAACAATCAGAAGTACTGCGTTTGAATCCCTATCTAGCCCTGCCCCCTGAATTTGAACACTCACAACATTGTTGTTAACCCTTGCACCACTATTGACCATAATGGACTCATCCAGATCAATGCATGGAAGAGTTTACTAAAGTTACATAGGGGTGAAAGGGTTAATTACATTTTATTTACTTTACCTTCATTATTTTTCATGAAAATCCCACAAGGCATGTTTTTCTTTCCAGGAATTATTTATCAAAGCTAGAGTCATGCCAAAAAAAACCAATCCAATCCTTAAATACTAATTTTGGCAGTGGTACGCGATTCTTAAATAGAAAAAGGTGGATGTATTTAATTTATATAGTGTCGATGTTAATGCCATTTCATATTATGGTTTGTGCTTGCAGGACGAGTATTCAATGGGTCTGGTAGACCAATTGACAAAGGACCACCAGTGGTGGCAGAGGACTTCCTTGACATTCAAGGTATGTTACTAGAACTGCATGATGTTGTAATACAGTAATAATGTATGATACACTTTTTTTTATCCAATCACTGGAGACTTAACAAATAAGGTTCATTTGGCCTAATTCCTTTTAGAGGTATTTGATATTCACGAAAAATAAGTTTAGCCAATGTTACTATTGCAAAATATTTCTGTCAGACCTTTTCAAAAGTAAACGTCTTAAGAATTACGTATTGCCATACATGATTTGACGGAATAGTAGTTGTCCGGAAATTTGAATGTTGGAAAACAGAAATAAAAATAAAATAACAAGGAAACTGCAGGAATCGAACTTGGAACCTTTACATGACAAAGGCCACACTTTACCTATGTTGCTATACAGGAAATATACAAAATGAGGGACCAATGTTTTGGGCCACTAAGTATATGAAAAACTTGACAGGGGAAGTCACTCTAGGCCAATTTCAAACCTTCAGGTTTAGCTTTTATTATCAAGGACTCGGTAAACCTTATCCTTGGCATTAATCTTAAATATAACTCCCTGAAGGTCTTCCATCGTACTTCTCTTGAGAGCAGGTATTGATTGTTACGTCATTGGTTCGTGTGAGAAAATTATGTCTTTTTCTCAAAAATTGATGACGTTACTCTCACAAACAAATGACGTAACAATCAATACCTGCTCTCAAGAGAAGATAACTCTGCAATACGCATAAACGGAATACTCCAAGTCATAAAAAGATCTTCCGGAACTCTTCTTTGCCATTAAAACTGCTACAGTGGTACTATGTATGATGGTATGATGGAAGACCTTCAGGGAGTTATATTTAAGATTAATGCCAAGGATAAGGTTTACCGAGTCCTTGATAATAAAAGCTAAACCTGCAGGTTTAAAATTTGTTAGTTTTATACTGAAACACCATTTCCAAACAGGTACTTTGTCTATGTAATATATGACATCACAGCTACTCCTACCGTTGGGTGAATCTAAAGAAATCCTGTACAGGTATTGGGAAAAACATGGTATTACTCAAGTATACGTATTATTGTGTGATATGTTCCCTCCCATATGGAAATAAATATGATTAAACTGCAGATATTTAACTAAAGTGCCGGGTATTCTTTTCTACAAAGGTCTGTCATGTTAATGAAGGCCATTAAAAAAAAAATAGATATCGAAATATTTTAAATCTGTTTTGTGATTCTTTTTTATATCTCTACATGTTTACAGTTGTACAGAAAATCTCAACCCCCTTTTCTCTAAAAATTAGACCTAGAAAATCTAAATGCTTGAAATGAGTATAAAATTGCTTTATCTTGTCCTGAAAAGTTTGTATGAACTCTATGTAGAAAATAATTACTTTAATTTGTTTGTGTTAAACAGGCCAGCCCATTAACCCCTGGGCCCGTATCTATCCCGAGGAGATGATACAGACCGGTATATCTGCCATTGACGGCATGAACAGTATTGCTCGTGGACAGAAGATCCCCATCTTCTCTGCTGCAGGTCTACCACATAACGAAGTGAGTCTACCTTTTTTCAAGAACTTATTTTGGAATTCATCATCAATTATTTTGTGCTTTGTATATATAATATACAGTACAAGATAGCATAACTCTCAGCTCGGATATGGATGACTTTGTCTTCTATTTTTAGCAGTGTGATATTTGTTACTGTAAGCTAAATTTTCATTAGATATGTATATAGTAGATAATAAATAAACAAGTTCTTGCAAAGGAAAATATAGAATAAAATAACAGGTATCCAAGATCTATCGCTAGGCCTTTCTGCCTTCTAGGGCTTCTTCAGTATATATATTTGTGTGTAACTTCATACAATGAGCCATTCCAATTTCTGGAATATATCATTGAAAGATAAATCATGAAAAAAAGATATTTTTGAATATCGCATCATTTACAGTATCTAAATAATAACAGAGTGTATTCCTGAAAATAAGCTTTCAAGGGAATTTATGAACAATCAGAATGATTGTATGTTTCTCTTTGTGATTAGAGTTTTGATGACTTCACTAAGTTTGACTGTCGCTTGGTTACAGATTGCGGCCCAGATTTGTCGACAGGGCGGTCTAGTCAAGCTGCCAGGCAAGAGTGTCCTGGATGATCACGATGACAACTTCGCTATCGTGTTTGCTGCTATGGGTGTAAGTGTTTTGATCGATACTATCTTGTTCACGGCGATAGATATTAGTGTTATTGACTGTTCATTTTCCTGGCATCAGAAAATCTAGACTAGGCAAATGTTAATTTGTTCTTCACAGGTACTTTTATAATATATATTTTATGATTATTCGAATTCATTACAAAATTTTGAAAAAACAAATTAAATAGTGAAGTTTCCCTGTATACAGTACATCAGACAGTATTTCTCTCTGTCACACCCCAGCAACTTCTTTATTCTGTAGTTTATAATAAGCTTCCACTAGAGTGTTCCTAAACATTTCTGGTCATACTTGTCCACAGGTCAACATGGAGGCTGCTCGATTCTTCAAACAGGACTTTGAGGAGAATGGATCCATGGAGAATGTGTGTCTCTTCCTCAACTTGGCAAATGATCCCACGTAAGTACCTGCAGCTAGACCTTACAGTTTCAGGGGGGGGGGTAAATTAAGTTGTTTGAAAAGTTGAATTTTCATTTTTACATGGACTGTTCATTTGGAATGAATTGTTTCTTATTGAGAAAAAACTGAGTAGTCAATATTTCTCCATTTCAAGTTAAATTTACAATTCACATTTCTTTAGATTTCTCATGATCTATCAAACTTAAATTTTAATTTGACCAAAAAGTCAGATAACAGGTTAAAACTTCACTTAAACAGCCACAGATGACATTCTGAGATGACATAATATTATTGGTTACCCACTAGTGCGTATCACCCTGGACATTGTTTCATTGCTCAATCTTATTATGACGTCGAGTAATAATGCTTCGTGACCTCATCTTCTAGCATGATGTCATAGTTAATGGCAAATGTTTCACTGATCAGAAACAGGAATAACATATTCCGAAAAGGAACATGGAAGTTGTTGGAGAAAAAGGTCCCCAAACTCCTGATGGTTGATTATCATGTTTATCTAACTCTCATTATTTAATTTTCAAAATTTTAAAAGATACTCTGTAAACCTCATGTCTTTTTACAATCTGAAGATTAACCGACTCAAGTTAAACATGATAATCAACCATCCCTCTTTGGAGAACCTCTATATCACATACCACAGAACACTGATGAATGTAAAGTTTTTGTATGACTTACTGTGACGATGTGTTGTGACTGTTTCAGGATAGAGCGTATTATCACACCCCGTATAGCTCTAACAGCTGCTGAGTTTATGGCCTACCAGTGCGAGAAACACGTTCTTGTAATCCTCACAGACATGAGTTCCTATGCTGACGCTCTCCGAGAAGTAAGAACAGCTTTGTGATTCTAAAAACTGTTGAATCTGTTCTGGGATGTACTGTAAAGTTTCACTTGTGTAAATGATCGCCTATGACTCTTTCACATTGGCAATGCTTCAGAAATCTTTTATAAAATTTAAACATTGAAAATGTATTGGTATATTTCTTTCCCAAACAACATTGTGTTATAAGGCATAGTTTTGTTGATAAGCAAATCTTTCACTGCACTTCTGCATCTGTAGGTGTCTGCGGCCAGAGAGGAAGTACCGGGTCGTCGTGGTTTCCCTGGTTACATGTACACCGATTTAGCCACCATCTACGAACGTGCCGGCCGAGTAGAAGGAAGGAATGGCTCCATCACACAAATCCCAATCCTTACCATGCCAAACGACGGTAGGTTCATAAAGAGGAACCAGTCATGAGTAAATTTTACTCACTAAAGCTGGTAGATTATACTTTAACTCATTCACCCATGAAGACACATTTGAACTCTTCCAATTCAAAAGTTGGAATAGTTCATTATGAAATTTCAGGGGTGATGAGTTAAAGGAATTAATCCACTTAAATGATATAAATAATAAACAATCATGTCATAATTACAATATATAACAAAACTACATCCAAAAAATATTTGATTCCAGGATTTTTTTAGTGTTTAACTTGAAAATACTTCTTTTTTCTTTTTAAACAGAATTTTGTTTCTTGTTTGTGTGGGGTTTGATGTCCTCCCAACAGCTAAAGTGTTGTAAAAAGGCGATATTTTTTTCCACTAAAATTGATGGAAAATATTCTTTGATTTAGATATTTTAAGGTAAAACTTATGTGCTTGATAGATAAATGAAAATATGTATATATATGCCATGATCATTGTTTTATAATTGTTCCTTTTTTTCTGGTAAAACAATTTTTTATTGACATTTTTACTAAATTTTCAGACATCACTCATCCAATTCCTGATTTGACTGGTTACATCACGGAGGGACAAATTTACGTTGATCGACAGCTTCACAATCGACAGGTAAGAAGTTTCTAAAAACTGATTTAAACATTTAAGGGGTAACAGTGTACACCACTGAGATTGTGAAGAGTTAACCTGGGCAGGTACAGAATTTTATCACACTCATCACAAAAAATGTGTCGAGAATATTTCTGGAAGGGGACCAACAGATTGGTTTTTCAATATTTCATTTGATGATTAAATAATTAAATGAATCTTTAAATGGATTTATCACTTAAAAATTCCTATTTTCAATGCCACCATTATACCACCATTCATTTATAAATTACAAGATTTGTTGAACAGACCAAAGGGTGGGGTGGGAGGGATGTTATAGAGCAGTAGAGAGTTTAATATTTGAAGTTATTATTTCATGACTGTTGAAAACTAAGAGAAACACTGACTTTCTTTGTAGATCTTCCCACCTATTAATGTGCTGCCCTCCTTGTCGAGATTGATGAAGTCTGCTATTGGTGAAGGAATGACAAGGGAAGACCACTCCGATGTATCCAATCAATTGGTAGGTGGAGCTAGTGTTTCAGCCGATTGAGAATTTGTTGCTCTAATTCAGTTAACGTAATCATGTTGCAGTTGATGAAGCATTTGAAAAGAAAGACTTAATTGAAATCAACCAGATTTAAATGTAATTTTAATCTCTGGAATTCTATTTTTAGAAAATGTCATTGGTTGTATAGGGAGTAGTCTAATTCACTCTGCTCAGTCGTTTACATATTTTGAATGTAGTTTATTCCGGGTGTAATTATGTGTTAAACGCGATAGTATAATGTTCACTTGTGCTTTCTTGTAAATACTTTAAACTGATGTGTCGATATTGATCATTTTGTAACACATGTGTTTAAGAAACTTCTAACTTGTTCCAGTATTTTAGAAACCGACAAATTCTCCTTTTATGTAAATCTAATCCAGGAGAATGATCTTTTTAGATACATTGTATATACCGTCATAGCCGAAGTTGAGCCTTCCTATTTCACTCGTTACAGTATGCCTGCTACGCCATTGGTAAAGATGTCCAGGCCATGAAAGCAGTGGTGGGAGAGGAGGCCCTCACGCCTGACGATTTACTGTACCTAGAATTCCTTACCAAGTTTGAGAAGAATTTCATCGCTCAAGGTAAGTATCTTCCATCCCATGACCGTGTATATATGAACTTGTGTCAGTGCCAACTCCTGCCTGTTAATGTCCTATACACAAAATAATCATTTATATCACTTCGTAGTAAAACACTGATGTAAAGCCCCTCATTTTATTTGCCCCTTTACTTCCCACCAGCATTTCTCAAGATCACCTTTTTACCAATTTCATTACAATTCCTTTACATGTCTTCATTGATTTATAGCCAGAATCTTTATAATGCCATCATTTCAGTGCACAAATAATGGAAGTATAATGAGGTTTTAGTGTATTTAGTGAAGTATATTTGTCAAATCTTAGAAATATAGATATTAATGTTCCAAGATCTGACAAGTATAACTAATAATTGGATGGGTGGTCGGGTAGCACAGTGAACAGCGCACTAGACTTTCACAAAGACGGCCAGGGTTTGATTCCCTGATCTGACTTGAAAGAGGTATAGGGTCACCCGTCTAACAACGCGAGTTTCTCTGGCTACTTCAGTTTCCTTCCACATCAAGACCCTTCTTGGGCTTTCAACCGGGCCAACAAGAGTGATTAATATTATTAGTTGATATAATTGTTTCATAATTGTTGTCAAATAAATAAATTTTATATTTAAATAGAATAAAGAAGTAGCCATTTTGAGATTAAAATTTGAATAGTTTTCAAAAAATATCAATATCATAGTTACATGCCACTAGAAAAAAAAGAAAAAAGAAAAACTTTTGAAACACAGAATGTCAATCTAATTGTTCTGTTCACTTAATAATTGTTTTGAATGTTCAAAATAGAAGTTCCACGACTTATATTTGTGTTTGATATTTACAGGCCACTACGAGAATAGAACAATCTTTGAAACGTTAGACATCGGATGGCAACTCTTGCGAATTTTCCCCAAGGAGATGTTGAAACGAATTCCAATGAACACACTGGCTAAGTATTATCCACGTGACGCTCACAAGCAACAGCAACAAAAGTCAGCAGCAGCGGCAGCTGAAGCTGCTGGACACAGCACGCAACTATAGACATGTTACCATAGCGATTTCACCCGTTGTCACCAGAGGTTTCATCAGCTGCTAACATTCCACATTTACCGCCTCAGTTCTGTCAATGTCTTCTTCAGTGTAATACAAATCTTGCGAAAATAATACCAATGCATTAAACAGACCCCCTCCGAAGGTTGCGACTGGAAAAAAATGCACAGTACCGTGGATTGTTCCGATTCTGAGGTTCGCTGATCTAGAAACTTTTATATATGACATGGTCATCGTATAAGATGCTTGATTTTTAATATGAGGTCAATGATTAAAAAACAATGTCTTTTGCATTTAGAAAATTTGAAATGTAAATAGATAGAAAAACTATTATTCTCCTTTATAAGTGTATATCAGTGTTTAAGCCCTGTGTTAATCTGTCTTAGTGTTCATACTGAATTAGCTGTCCATACAAAATGTAGTAGAATTCTTTTGTCTCTTTAGGTTGTCACTATTAACTGATTATTTTAGGATATATTCTATAAAGAGTCTGATAAATAGGTTTCCATTAACCATGAACCTCATCCACATTAAACTTATTTAATATTGTGGAGCATTGTTCTTCTTAGACTGGCTATGTTCAGATTGTAGCTATGATTTCTTTATGCCTTAGGGATTGCTAAATCATAGATCCTTATACCATGACAGTAAATTTTTAAAAAGGTGAATTTGTTTTTTCCACTTTCTCAGTCTGTCATTACAGTCAAAGAAAGCAATACTGTCAACATTTGTACAGGGTAGTTTTCTGAAAATATTAAATTGGAGAGGGACCAATCAAGGTTTACAGGTAAGGGAAAAATCTGGAGAGTTGCTGAATGGATGTACAGATATTTAAACTAACAATATTAATCCAGTTAAATTTTCAATAGAAATAACCATCATTAGACATTGATTGTTTTAAGTACTAGTTCCAGAACATTTTCCTTACTGCTCAGTATTGTTTTCAATGGTAAAAATAATAATCATTGGGCGAGGAGGGGGGCTGGACACTGCTGGTAGACTGTAAACATAAATTCAGGTTCAGGTCCTAAAAGTCTTTGTCAAGAATAAACAAACACCAAACTATAAGGCTCATCCCTTTTTCATAAACGAACAATTCTAGTCCATTTTTTATCTGATCAAAACCGAGAATATTTGCAAGGGGAGATAACCCGAAGTGGGGGAGGGGAGGCTGGTCAGAAATGAGATGAAATATAAATATAATCATGATCAAATAATTGAGAGGTGGTGAAAAAGAATGAGAAACAAATCAACTTGTGTTAAAGCAACAAATGTCTTATAGGTAACTAGTTGATGCCCACTTATATGATATTATGGATATATAAATATGAATGCAAGACAAGCATTTTATCGATAGTGCTTGACTTTGAAAGTGACGGTGGTGTATTTTGATTCATATGATTTGAGAATTTCTCTCAAAAACATTAAATTGTCCTGAAATTTTTAATTTTGAATGGAATTTAAAATAGACAGTTTTTTAAACGGTGCATGTAGATTTCTTAGTTTAATATCTATATATATATATATATATATATATGCAGTACAAAACACAGAAAGAAATATATCATAGATTGATATTGGTAAGTTAGTATAAAAGTAAAAAGTGTATGTTTTTGTGATAGGTAGAATTGTACATTGTGGGTGAGAAATGTTGTAAATTTCATGAATGTTTACATATATTGTGATTTATATAGCAATCACTTAGAAATAGGGTATAATGTTCATTCCTGTGAAATAAACAAAATGTATTTTTTCGATACAGAAAATTTGTAGTGCTGTATTGATGTTCAGTGGAATATCTATGGGTGAAGTCCATGAAGATAGCAAACATTCTGCCTTTTGCTGCCAGACACAGTTATCTCCCTTGATATATAAAATCACAGTATGAAAGGATTCATCTATGCGTACAGTTATCTTCCTTGGTATTTAAAAGTTGTAGTTAATTTGCGATAACCTGTGCGTGCAATCTTTTATTCCTGTCAAATATCTCAATATTGGATTGGCCAGTTCAAATTGATAAAATTCAATTCTTTGGTAGAAGGAGTAAAAAATATAACAAGGAAGCATATTAATTCCTTTAATTTTCACAATAATTAATGAAGTTCATTATCATGGAGACACCATTTTGTTTATTTCACTAGAATGTACTTGAAAAATGTGTAAGGTAGTGCATACTGTATTGTAGTATACTGTCGCTCATCAAGGGTTGCATGTGATTCCAAATCTCTCCCCTCAACTGCCTTGGTAAAATATCAATGATTTTCACCGTTGTTGGGTATTAATAAAACCTCTTTCAAAACTGGAAATTATTCCAAATCAAGATTTATTTAGTTCCAAATCTATTCGCAGGCTTTGGCATAATTGTGGTTTATATATTATATGGTTGATCCATACTTATTCCATCACAGAAATTTAACGAGCACCTGGAGTTTGATAAATTGGTTCGACAAAGGTACTATCAAATTCACTTTAAGAGTGGTTCATCCTAAACAGAAGTTTTATTCATTTGGTATTGAGGGATATAGAAATTTGTTGAAAATTTACCAATAAGACGAGATGGGATTGTAAGTAGGCTTATAGCTAGCCTATCATTCACCATTATACATGTAATGATAGAAATTATCAGCACATATTGGTATACATATATGAATATTTGCTGTCATTTCATATGTCATATTTATATACTGTATCAAGTATTATTATTCATTTACATTTCCTTGTTATGAGTTTTGTTTTGAAATGTGATCTGGGATAGAACCTGTTGGGTATTTAATAAAAGGATCAAGAATTTACGACAAATTCAATAGTCATTAATTTATGTTTTATAATGTGTCCTTTCCAGTTTGGATACTGAAAGTATATTCTGAAAACAGAAATGATTTGCAATCATTTTTATTCACATGTTCAAATTGAAGTGTGAATTTCTAATCTGGATGTGATTAAAATATTATTGAAAATATCTTGGTTTTGTTGTGTATCTATTGTTTGTGGGTGTGGGTGTTGTTGTGTATCTGTTGTTTGTGGGTGTTGTTGTGTATCTGGTGGGTTGTGGGTGTTGTTGTGTATTTGGTGGGTTGTGGATGTTGTTGTGTATCTGTTGTTTGTGGGTGTTGTTGTGTATCTGTTGTTTGTGGGTGTTGTGTATCTGTTGTTTGTTGGTGTTGTTGTGTATCTGTTGTTTGTGGGTGTTGTGTATCTGTTTGTGGGTTTGGGTGTTGTTGTTTATCTGTTGTTTGTGGGTGTTGTTGTGTATCTGTTGTTTGTGGGTGTGGGTGTTGTTGTGTATCTGTTGTTTGTTGGTGTGATAGTGTAAATTGGTTACAGTTGACACATCACATTACAGTTGTAATAGTACTTGCTGTTATTGGATTATGACAACACTTTTAGTTAGTATATTTATCTAAGGACCGTAGAAAGAAAATGTTAATATCACTCAATACCTCGACTTTTGAGCCTTCCCTTTCAACTCTTTTGTCTTTTCAACTCATTCACCCCTGAAGACACATTTGAACTCCTCAAATTCAAAGGTTGGAATAGTTCATTATGAAATTTCAGGGGTGAATGAATTAATAGGGATACCATGTATAATATCTAGAAGAATGTACCATCACAACGTCACCATCAGAATACATAAAAGCTGACAGTGCAAGTTAAAAAGCTTTCAATTGAGTTGGGTTTTTTTAAGGTTTTTTTTCTGGTTTAGAGATCTTCCCCATCTCTTCATTCTACCGTTTCTAAGGAAGTGCAGACATTTTAATTTGTCTTTACTTGGTAACGAGTATAGGTCTCGCTGGGTATAAAAAGCGCATTACCTGTCAAACCGGTTTTCATTTGTTCAATATGTGTACAAGTTGACACTACTTTACTATATTTATATAGAACACTTTCACTCAGGTTTTTCACCAACATTTTGTATCGGATCAGTTGAATAAAATTGAAATGGAACACATCAAAGATATTTATCTAAGAAAAGTGGAAATACTGTAATGGTAAAATTCAACCAATTTAAAAATCTAATGCAGTGTTTCGAAGAATTAAGGTGAGTGTTTGATTTTTAGCTCACCTGCCCGAAGGGAAAGTGAGCTAATGTCATGGTGCAGCGTCTGTCGTCCGTCCGTTATCCGTCAACTTTTCCTTTTAAAAGCTTTTTCTGAAGAACAGACAGGCCTAGAGTCATGCTATTTCGCTGTAAGCTTCGTTGGTAGGAGCCCGACAAAGTTTGAGAACGAAAATGACCTTGACCTACTTTCAAGGTCACAGGGGTCAAATATGTCAAAGGCATCAAACGACTTTTGAAGAACTGAAAGGTATAGATTCTTCATATTTGGCTGGTAGCTTCCTGGGATAGAGGCGGACAAAGTTTGAGAATGAAAATGAACTTTACCTACTTTCATGGTCTCGGGTGTCAAACACTTCAAACAACTTTTTCTGAAGAACTGAAAGGTATATAATCATAATATTTGGCTAGTGGCTTCTCTGGATAGAGCTCACCAAAGTTTGCAAATAAAAATAACCTCAACCTACTTTAAAGGTCACCGAGGTTAACAACATTTCAAACGATTTTTTCTGAAGAATCAAATGGAATGGATTCAGAAAATTTGGCTGGTAGCTTCTTGGGATAGAGCCAATACATTTTGAGAAGGAAAATAACCTTGAGCTCCTTCAGGGCCACATGAATAAAATATGTCCGCTTCTGAAGAAGAAACAAAAAGCACAGAATCATTATAATATTTGGCTGGTAGTTTCAACAGATGGAGCCGACAAAGTTTGCGAGTGAAACATTTGTAGTACAGTATAATATTTAGTGAGACTATTTTGCTATGACTACTTTAATATTCAGATGAGCGATACAGGCCCTCTGGGCCTCTTGTTGATATTGGTTGTAATGCACTGTTTATACCCAGCGAAACCCATACTCGTTACCAAGCAAGGAAAAAGCTAAAATGCCGGCACTTCCTTAGAAACGATAGTCGGAAGATATGGGAAGATCTCAAAATCAGAAAAAAATACTTCGGGTTTTTTTTTGTTCTAATCTCAGTTGAAAGCTTTTTAACTCAAAATTTGCATGGGGGAGACCCCCACACCCCCCTTACGGGAGTGGGTCTTCCCCCTCCCGTACCCCCCC